TGATTCTCCCTGTAGCTGGGTGATTCTGTAGCTGAGTGATTCTACCCTGTAGCTGGGTGATTCTCTCTGTAGCTGGGTGATTCTCCCTGTTGCTGGGTGATTCTCTCTGTAGCTGGTGATTCTCTCTGTAGCTGAGTGATTCTCCCTGTAGCTAAGTGATTCTCCCTGTGGCTGAGTGATTCTCCCTGTAGCTGAGTGATTCTCCCTGTAGGCTGGGTGATTCTCCCTGTAGCTGGGTGATTCTCCCTGTAGCTGGGTGATTCTCTCCCTGGGTAGCTGAGTGATTCTCCCTGTAGCTGGGTGATTCTTTCCCTGTAGCTGGGTGATTCTCTCTGTAGCTGGGTGATTCTCTCTATAGCTGGGTGATTCTCTCTGTAGCTGGGTGATTCTCTCTGTAGCTGAGTGATTCTCCCTGTAGCTGGGTGATTCTCCCTGTAGCTGAGTGATTCTCCCTGTAGCTGAGTGATTCTCTCTGTAGCTGGGTGATTCCTCCCTGTAGCTGAGTGATTCTCCCTGTAGCTGGGTGATTCTCCCTGTAGCTGAGTGATTCTCCCTGTAGCTGGGTGATTCTCCCTGTAGGCTGGGTGATTCTCCCTGTAGCTGAGTGATTCTCCCTGTAGCTGAGTGATTCTCCTGTAGCTGAGTGATTCTCCCTGTAGCTGAGTGATTCTCCCTGTAGCTGGGTGATTCTCCCTGTAGCTGAGTGATTCTCCCTGTAGCTGGGTGATTCTCCCTGTAGCTGAGTGATTCTCCCTGTAGCTGGGTGATTCTCCCTGTAGCTGAGTGATTCTCCCTGTAGCTGAGTGATTCTCCCTGTAGCTAGGTGATTCTCCCTGTAGCTGAGTGATTCTCCCTGTAGCTGAGTGAATTCTTCCTGTAGCTGAGTGATTCTCCCTGTACCTGAGTGATTCTCCCTGTAGCTGGGTGATTCTCCCTGTAGCTGAGTGATTCTCCCTGTAGCTGGGTGATTCTCCCTGTAGCTGAGTGATTCTCCCTGTATGCTGGGTGATTCTCTCCTGTAGCTGGGTGATTCTCTCCTGTAGCTGAGTGATTCTCCCTGTAGCTAAGTGATTCTCCCTGTAGCTGAGTGATTCTCCCTGTAGCTGAGTGATTCTCCCTGTAGCTGGGTGATTCTCCCTGTAGCTGGGTGATTCTCCCTGTAGCTGGAGTGATTCTCCCTGTAGCTGAGTGATTCTCCCTGTAGCTGGGTGATTCTCCCTGTAGCTGGGTGATTCTCTCTGTAGCTGGGTGATTCTCTCTGTAGCTGGGTGATTCTCTCTGTAGCTGGGTGATTCTCTCTGTAGCTGAGTGATTCTCCCTGTAGCTGGGTGATTCTCCCTGTAGCTGAGTGATTCTCCCTGTAGCTGAGTGATTCTCTCTGTAGCTGAGTGATTCTCCCTGTAGCTGAGTGATTCTCCCTGTAGCTGAGTGATTCTCCCTGTAGCTGGGTGATTCTCTCTGTAGCTGGGTGATTCTCCCTGTAGGCTGGGTGATTCTCCCTGTAGCTGAGTGATTCTCCCTGTAGCTGAGTGATTCTCCCTGTACCTGAGTGATTCTCCCTGTAGCTGAGTGATTCTCCCTGTAGCTGGGTGATTCTCCCTGTAGCTGAGTGATTCTCCCTGTAGCTGGGTGATTCTCCCTGTAGCTGAGTGATTCTCCCTGTAGCTGGTTGGTTCTCCCTGTAGCTGAGTGATTCTCCCTGTAGCTGAGTGATTCTCCCTGTAGCTAGGTGATTCTCCCTGTAGCTGAGTGATTCTCCCTGTAGCTGAGTGATTCTTCCTGTAGCTGAGTGATTCTCCCTGTACCTGAGTGATTCTCCCTGTAGCTGGGTGATTCTCCCTGTAGCTGAGTGAGTCTCCCTGTAGCTGGGTGATTATCCCTGTAGCTGAGTGATTCTCCCTGTTGCTGGGTGATTCTCCCTGTAGCTGGGTGATTCTCCCTGTAGCTGGGTGATTCTCCCTGTAGCTAAGTGATTCTCCCTGTAGCTGAGTGATTCTCCCTGTAGCTGAGTGATTCTCCCTGTAGCTGGGTGATTCTCCCTGTAGCTGAGTGATTCTCCCTGTAGCTGAGTGATTCTCCCTGTAGCTGAGTGATTCTCCCTGTAGCTGGGTGATTCTCCCTGTAGCTGAGTGATTCTCCCTGTAGCTGAGTGATTCTCCCTGTAGCTGGGTGATTCTCCCTGTAGCTGGTGATTCTCCCTGTAGCTGGTGATTCTCCCTGTAGCTGAAGTGATTCTCCCTGTAGCTGAGTGATTCTCCCTGTAGCTGAGGTGATTCTCCCTGTAGCTGGGTGATTCTCCCTGTAGCTGGGTGATTCTCCCTGTAGCTGAGTGATTCTCCCTGTAGCTGAGTGATTCTCCCTGTAGGTGAGTGATTCTCCCTGTAGCTGGGTGATTCTCCCTGTAGCTGAGTGATTCTCCCTGTAGCTGAGTGATTCTCCCTGTAGCTGAGTGATTCTCTCTGTAGCTGGGTGATTCTCTCCTGTAGCTGGGTGATTCTCTCCTGTAGCTGAGTGATTCTCCCTGTAGCTGGGTGATTCTCCCTGTAGCTGAGTGATTCTCCCTGTAGCTGGGTGATTCTCTGTAGCTGAGTGATTCTCCCTGTAGCTGGGTGATTCTCTCTGTAGCTGGGTGATTCTCCCTGTGCTGGTGATTCTCTCTGTAGCTGGGTGATTCTCTCTGTAGCTGAGTGATTCTCCCTGTAGCTAAGTGATTCTCCCTGTAGCTGAGTGATTCTCCCTGTAGCTGAGTGATTCTCCCTGTAGCTGGGTGATTCTCCCTGTAGCTGGGTGATTCTCCCTGTAGCTGAGTGATTCTCCCTGTAGCTGGGTGATTCTCCCTGTAGCTGGGTGATTCTCCCTGTAGCTGGGTGATTCTCCCTGTAGCTGAGTGATTCTCCCTGTAGCTGGGTGATTCTCCCTGTGGCTGAGTAATTCTCCCTGTAGCTGAGTGATTCTCCCTGTAGCTGAGTGATTCTCCCTGTAGCTGGGTGATTCTTCCAGTAGCTGGGTGATTCCGCCTGTAGCTGAGTGATTCTCCCTGTAGCTGAGTGATTCTCCCTGTAGCTGGGTGATTCTCCCTGTAGCTGAGTGATTCTCTCTGTAGCTGGGTGATTCTCCCTGTAGCTGAGTGATTCTCCCTGTAGCTGAGTTATTCTCCCTGTACCTGTGTGATTCTCCCTGTAGCTGAGTGATTTTCCCTGGAGCTGGGTGATTCTCCCTGTAGCTGAGTGATTCTCCCTGTAGCTGGGTGATTCTCCCTGCTGAGTGATTCTCCCTGTAGCTGGGTGATTCTCCCTGTAGCTGAGTGATTCTCCCTGTAGCTGGGTGATTCTCCCTGTAGCTGGGTGATTCTCCCTGTAGTTGGGTGATTCTCCCTGTAGCTGAGTGATTCTCCCTGTAGCTGAATGATTCTCCCTGTAGCTGGGTGATTCTCCCTGTAGCTGAGTGATTCTCCCTGTAGCTGAGTGATTCTCCCTGTAGCTGAGTGATTCTCCCTGTAGCTGAGTGATTCTCCCTGTAGCTGGGTGATTCTCCCTGTAGCTGGGTGATTCTCCCTGTAGCTGGGTGATTCTCCCTGTAGCTGGGTGATTCTCCCTGTAGCTGGCTGATTCTCCCTGTAGCTGAGTGATTCTCCCTGTAGGTGAGTGATTCTCCCTGTAGCTGGGTGATTCTCCCTGTAGCTGGGTGATTCTCCCTGTAGCTGAGTGATTATCCCTGTAGCTGAGTGATTCTCCCTGTAGCTGGGTGATTCTCCCTGTAGCTGTGTGATTCTCCCTGTAGCTGAGTGATTCTCCCTGTAGCTGAGTGATTCTCCCTGTAGCTGAGTGATTCACCCTGTAGCTGGGTAATTCACCCTGTAGCTGGGTGATTCTCCCTGCAGCTGAGTGATTCTCCCTGTAGCTGGGTGATTCTCCCTGTAGCTGAGTGATTCTCCCTGTAGCTGGGTGATTATCCCTGTAGCTGAGTGATTCTCCCTGTTGCTGGGTGATTCTCCCTGTAGCTGGGTGATTCTCCCTGTAGCTGGGTGATTCTCCCTGTAGCTGAGTGATTCTCCCTGTAGCTGTGTGATTCTCCCTGTAGCTGAGTGATTCTCCCTGTAGCTGGGTGATTATCCCTGTAGCTGAGTGATTCTCCCTGTAGCTGAGTGATTCTCCCTGTAGCTGAGTGATTATCCCTGTAGCTGAGTGATTCTCCCTGTAGCTGGGTGATTCTCCCTGTAGCTGGGTGATTCTCCCTGTAGCTGGGTGATTCTCCCTGTAGCTGGGTGATTCTCCCTGTAGCTGGGTGATTCTCCCTGTAGCTGAGTGATTCTCCCTGTAGCTGAGTGATTCTCCCTGTAGCTGAGTGATTCTCCCTGTAGCTGAGTGATTCTCCCTGTAGCTGAGTGATTCTCCCTGTAGCAGAGTGATTCTCCCTGCAGCTCCGCGAATCCCTCTGCAGCCTACTGGCAATACATAAATAACCGCGCTGGGTTTGAGTATGTATATGACAAGTACGTGATTATAACATTATAACGTGATTACGAAAAGTTGGGGATTCTGGGAGGAATTGGCTGGTCCCGGGAAGAGATCCAGATATTTGTGATTTGTTTTTCGTTCACGAATGTCACGATCCACAGCTCAACGTGGATTCCAGGGTGGGGTGGGGGTCACGGCAGACCCCTGGGTACCCCGTGGATTGGGGTACTTACTGGTGGATTCTGGGAGTTCTGTCGCGTTGCACTTGGACGCGCACCGCGAGTGGAATCGCGACCCCACCCCGCCCCGGGCGGCACGTGGGATCGCTCTAGCCGCACCGCCGGTGCACCCCAGGGGTTTCATATCGGCTGAACACAAATGCAATGCCCGGCGCATCACATCCGGTGTACTACTACTACCACCAGTCACGTGCCACCAACTCCTCCCCTTGCGGTGGGCCCCTCCGGAAAATACCCAGCGAGGAATTAGTTATTGATTACACTCCGGTGTCCGTCTCCCACCACTCCCCCCGGCCGTGTGCAGGCGGCGCGGGCGGCCATGACGTTCCTCAGCGTGGCGGAGCGCGTGTTCTGCGTGCGGGCCTACTACGAGGGCGGCCGCTCGCTCAAGGCCGCGCGGCGCGCCTTCGCCGTCCGCTACTCCGCGCGGCGCCCGCCCTCGGCCAAGACCGTCTGGAAGGTCGTGCGCAAGTTCGAGGCCCACGGCAGCGTGTGCGACCGCCGCGCGGGCCGCTCGGGCCGCCCGCCGATGGCCGCGACCCCCGGGGAGGAGCGCCGCGGCACGCCGCTCCTCCCGGGGCCGCGGCGTGCCGTCGCCGAAGCCGCCGAGCAGCTCGGGGTCTCCCTCTCGTCGGCATACCGACTCTCCCGGAGACTCTGTGTGTACTCGTCGTCGTCGTCATCATCATCATCATCGCGACACCTCTGTTGGTTTAGTGATGAGGTGCCCATCACTATCACTGCATTGCTCATCCAGCAGTGGATAGCCATACATGTACAAGCGTGTTTGCTGTGGCACGTGTCTGTCCACACCCAGCTGGACACGCCCTGCGAACAAGAGGAATCAAAAACATCACGTCCACAATCCTGGGTAGCTGAGTAACGTCACGTCCAGCATCCTGAGTAGCTGAGTAACGTCCCGTCCATCCTGAGTAGCTGAGTAACGTCCCGTCCATTCTGAGTAGCTGAGTAACGTCACGTCCATCCTGAGTAGCTGAGTAATGTCACGTCCACAATCCTGAGTAGCTGAGTAACGTCACGTCCAGCGTCCTGGGTAGCTGAGTAACGTCACGTCCAGCGTCCTGGGTAGCTGAGTAACGTCACGTTCAGCATCCCGGGTAGCTGAGTAACATCACGTCCACAAACCCTGGGTAGCTGAGTAACGTCACGTCCAGCATCCTGAGTAGCTGAGTAACATCACGTCCACAATCCTGGGTAGCTGAGTAACGTCACCTCCACAATCCTGGGTAGCTGGGTAACGTCATGTCGAGCATCCTGGGTAGCTGAGTAACGTCACGTCCACAATCCTGGGTAGCTGAGTAACGTCGATCAGCGCAGGTGTCACCATCGAGCAGAAGCCAACATCGGCAGCAGCGTTAATTCTACTTTCTCGAAATATCTCCTCACTTTCTCCGGTCGTGGAAATCGTTTCCTGTGAGACTGTCAGGACGAGGTCGGGTGTGGGTTCCGGGGGTGACGTGCACGTCAGGGCGAGGGACTGGGGGCCGGGGTGGGCAAGGTGGTGCTGGGACAGTTCCCGAGTGAAGGCGTTACAGGGGTAGTCTACAAAGGGGTCTGAGGTCATTCGTGTCCCGAGTGGAGGGTGAGGGGGTCGTGGTCGGCGCGACCTGGATAAGGAAGCACCGTGCACTTTGTCACTGCTAACACATGTGCACGTGTCTGCACATGTGTGTGCGTGCGTGTGCGTGCGTGCACGTGTGTGTGCACGTGTGTGTGCACGTGTGTGCGTGCGTGTACGCGCATGCGTGCACGTGTGTGTGTGCGCGTGTGTGCACGTGTGTGTGCACGTGTGTGTGTGTGCTTGCGTGTGTGTGCGCGCGTGTGTGCGCGCGTGTGTGTGCGCGCGTGTACGTGTGTGCGTGTACGTGTGTGTGTGTGCATGCGTGTACGTGTGTGCGCACGTGTGTGTGCGTGCGTGTACGTGTGTGTGTGTGCATACGTGTGTGTGTGTGCACGTGTGTGTACGTGTGTGTGTACGTGTGTGTGTACGTGTGTGTGCATGCTCGTGCCAGCCTTCATTGGTGCTCGCTAACAGCACTTGCCATAAGAGTCTTTTAAGGCTAAACGAGGGATTGTTGTCCGTGTGCGTACGTGTGTGTACGTGTGTGTACGTGTGTACGTGTGTGTACGTGTGTGTACATGTGTGTACGTGTGCGCCCGTGTGTGCGCGTGCTCGCAGGTGAAGAGGGCAGCGGGATGCTGGAGCGAGAGGAGGAACTGGCACCCAGGGAATCGCCGGAGCGAAGGAGCGCACCGGGGCAGCAGCGCACGGAGCAGCAGGAGCAGCAGCAGCAGGAGGAGGAGCAGCAGCAGCAGGTGGAGCAGCAGGAGGAGGAGCTAATGGAGCAGCCGCCGCCCTCCCCGTGCCGGGAGCCGGCGCCGGGGGGAGCCGCGGAGGCCGCCGGGGCCCCCCGCTACTCGGTGGACGGGCCGGGGCAGGGAGCGAGGCCCTCAGAGTGCGAGGAGGAGGAGGGGGTCGGGCCCTGGGAAGTGGTGCGGATGGTGGGGGGAGGTAATCCGGGAGGCACGGGGAGCCAAGGACGGGGCAGTGGGAGGGTAGGGACTGGGAGGAGAGGGAGGAGGTGGTGGGGGGTGGGGGGGCGGGGCGAGGGGTGTGGTGAGTCTGGGGGGGCGGGGCGAGGGGTGTGGTGAGTCGGGGGTGGAGGGGCGGGGCGAGGGGTGTGGTGTGTCGGGGGGCGGGGCGAGGGGTGTGGTGAGTCGGGGGGGGGGCGGGGGGTGTGGTGAGTCGGGGGGCGGGGCGAGGGGTGTGGTGAGTCGGGGGGGGCGGGGCGAGGGGTGTGGTGAGTCGGGGGGGGGCGGGGGCGAGGGGTGTGGTAAGTCTGGGGGGGCGGGGCGAGGGGTGTGGTGAGTCGTGGGGGGGCGGGGCGAGGGGTGTGGTGAGTCTGGGGGGCGGGGCGAGGGGTGTGGTGAGTGGGGGGGCGGGGCGAGGGGTGTGGTGAGTCTGGGGGGCGGGGCGAGGGGTGTGGTGAGTCTGGGGGGCGGGGCGAGGGGTGTGGTGAGTGGGGGGGCGGGGCGAGGGGTGTGGTGAGTCGGGGGTGGGGGGGAAGATTCTGAGTGACAATAAATGTCAGAATCAAGATGGGCACGTGCCGTAAATTCAGTGGTGAGGGTGTGGTGAGTGGTGAGGATGTGGTGAGGGTGTGGTGTGGTGAGTGGTGAGGATGTGGTGAGTGGCGAGGGTGTGGTGAGTGGTGAGTGGCGAGGATGTGATGAGTGGTGAGGATATGGTGAGTGGTGAGGGTGTGGTGAGTGGTGAGGGTGTGGTGAGTGGTGAGGGTGTGGTGTGGTGAGGGTGTGGTGAGTTGTGAGGGTGTGGTGAGTGGTGTGGTGAGGGTGTGGTGAGTGGTGAGGGTGTGGTGAGTGGTGAGGGTGTGGTGTGGTGAGGGTGTGGTAAGTGGTGAGGTTGTGGTGAGTGGTGTGGTGAGGGTGTGGTGAGTGTTGAGGGTTAGGTGAGTGTTGAGGGTGTGGTGTGGTGAGGCTGTGGTGAGTGTTGAGGATGTGGTGAGTGGTGAGGGTGTGGTGTGCGGAAGGAAAGCGGCCTTCAGAGAGACAGAGACACAAGTAAACGGTTGAATTTTATTCGTGAAATATTCCTGCGCGTCGGTGTACGCGGAGAACCGCATTTGTGCGATCGGTGTGCGGGGAGCGGTGGCACAGTGGTTAGCGCACTGCACTTCGAACCCCGTGATTGATTGCCGCTCGCAAACAATAACAGTGGTGATTTACTGAATGGGTCTTGGGCATTCCCCTAGATGGGCTCAGAATAAAAAAATGAGTACTTGGTGCAGTGTGTGGTAAACAGGATTGGGGAGACAAAGGCGGCCTGGTGCGGGTGCTAGTCACATCACACCCCCTTCGTGTGCAGTGCCAGCCTTCATAGGTGCTCGCTAACAGCACTTGCCTCAACGTCTGTTCAAGGTTATACGGGGAATCTTTGTCGTTGCTTGTCTTGTGTTACCTCTGGCGTGTGTGCGTGTGGGTTGCGTTAAGAGTGTTGTGTGAGGTGTATGCTGCGTGTACTAGGGTATCGGTGTTTGTAGTTTCACTGCCAGCGCTGTGTGTAGTGCTAAGCCTTGTATGCAATGTCCGCCAACGCTGTTGTGTGTTGCGTGCAACGGGGTTCGTGCAGTGTGTCGCGAAGGCTACACACACGGCATGCCACACAGACACAACGTGGTAACTTCGCAGTGTGGAGCGGTAGTCTACGGCGTGTGCTCTGTGCGAGTATTGTGCATCGTGTCACGGCCAGCGCCATCCTGTTGTCATCGTGCCCGTGACACGTGTGGCGTCTCACTGCTGCGAGCACCGCGGCCGCTCCCGTCTCGCTTGTGACTCGCCGCGCACTGCCAGAGCCCTCAACGGACTCGGGGTCCCCTCGTCGAGGGGTCCCAGCGACAAGGGGTCCCCTCGACGAGGGGTCCCCTCGACGCAGGGTCCCCTCGATGCAGGGTCACCACGATGCGGGGTCACCACGACGAGGGGTCCCCTCGACGCAGCAGAGTCCCCTCGACGAGGAGTCCCCTCGACGCAGGGACCCCGCGACGAGGGGTCCCTGCAACGTGGTGACCCCACATCGAGGGGTCCCCTCGATGCGGGGTCACCACGATGAGGGGTCCCCTCGATGCGGGGTCACCACGACGAGGGGTCACCACGACGAGGGGTCACCACGACGAGGGGTCCCCTCGACGCAGGGTCCCAGCGACGCAGCAGAGTCCCCGCGACGAGGGGTCCCCTCGACGCAGGGACCCCGCGACGAGGGGTCCCTGCAACGTGGGGACCCCGCGACGAGGGGTCCCCTCGACGCAGGGACCCCGCGTCATGGGGACCCTGCAACGTGGTGCCTCCCAAGTGGTGCAGGAGGCCGAGCCGAGGACCCCGCCGGACACCGTCCGGACACGACCGCCATCGTTACGATCGCGCTCCTTCATGCCGTGTCCAAGCGCTCCCATGACAACCGGCATCTCCATGTGACAACCGACATCCTCGCATGGCAACCAATATCATTGTCACTTGACAACCAGAAACGTCACCAGACCAATCGGCGTTGTCACGTAATTACCAGCGACATCACGTGACCGGCAAGTGACGTCGCATGACAACAGCCAGCACAGTCACTTCACCATTCAAGTCAAAACGATGGCCGCCGCCACCATGTGATGAGTGTCACGTGACATCCGGCATTGTGACGTCACCTCATCACGTGGCGACCATCTTTCTCTTGAGCGTATCGCTAAGCCGATGCTTAAAGTGCGACTGTAGCCGCCCCTTGTGACCCCTCGCTCCTGACCGAGGTCAAGTGTCAAGGCACTCGCCAGAAGAGGGCACTGAACACGGGACGGGGGTAAGGTGGCGGCGCAGGCGAGTTGTTCAACGTCATAGTCCATCCCTCGGTCAGACTCCTCTCTCTCTGTGTCTCCGGTCTCTCTGTGGAGCTTTCCCCCCGGGGCTTGTGGCAACCCCGGTCCCACCGGCGCCTCCCACCTTGCCGGGAGACACGAGCAGGGTGAGAGGGTGAGGCCACAGATACGTCTCTGCGTCTCTTGGCGCTCTCCCGACTCTCGTTTACCTCCTGTCATCTCCCATCTCCATCCTGCGCCTCCCGTTTATTTCCCCTCGTATCTTTCCTCCCGTCTCCTCTCCCCCGTGTCTCCTCCCGTGTCTCCTCCCCCGTGTCTCCCCCGTGTCTCCTTTCCCCCGTGTCTCCACTCCCCCGTGTCTCCTCCCGTGTCTCCTCTCCCCCGTGTCTCCTCTCCCCCGTGTCTCCTCTCCCCCGTGTCTCCCCCGTGTCTCCTCTCCCCCGTGTCTCCTCTTCCCCGTGTCTCCTCTCCCCCGTGTCTCCTCTCCCCCGTGTCTCCTCTCCCCCGTGTCTCCTCCCGTGTCTCCTCTCCCCCGTGTCTCCTCCCGTGTCTCCTCTCCCCCGTGTCTCCTCTCCTCCCGTGTCTCCTCCCGTGTCTCCTCTCCCCCGTGTCTCCTCTCCCCCGTGTCTCCTCTCCTCCCGTGTCTCCTCCCGTGTCTCCTCCCGTGTCTCCTCTCCCCCGTGTCTCCTCTCCCCCGTGTCTCCCCCGTGTCTCCCCCGTGTCTCCCCCGTGTCTCCTCCCGTGTCTCCTCTCCCCTGTGTCTCCTCTCCCCCGTGTCTCTTCTCCTCCCGTGTCTCCTCCCGTGTCTCCTCTCCTCCCGTGTCTCCTCCCGTGTCTCCTCTCCCCCGTGTGTCTGCTCCCGTGTCTCCCCCGTCTCCTCTCCCCCGTGTGTCTCCTCCTTCCGCCTCCTCCTCTGGCATCACTGGTGCCGCGGTGGCACGGTGATGAGCTGGTGCAGCTTTGCCGAGTAGCGGTCGCTCACGAGACGCACCCAGTCGGGCCGCACGGGGCCCTTGTACCCGACGAACACCAGCCGGTCTACACAGACAAAGGGGCCCCGCGTAGCCTTTAACGGACTGTTGGGGCAAGCGCTGTTAGCCAGTGGCATCCGTGAAGGTCGGCGCGGCACACGATGGTGGTGAGTCGCCAGGATCGCCACACACGGCCGCCTTTGTCTCTCCAAATGTTGATATTTTATCGTGCCAGGGGTACTCATTTTAAGGCTGAGTCGGCATCGGGGAGACTTGAGACCGGTTCAAATAAACGCGAGCGGGAGTCGAACTCGAGGTGGCAAGATCGTAGTTGAGCGCGCTAACCACCGCAACACCACTCCCCACACGCTCAAACAGACGCACACACCAACGAACACACGTACACCCGATTAGCACGGTTGGCTACGCACGGTGCGAAAATCGCTCAACATGGAAGTGACGGGAGCAGCGACGGTGGCGATGATGGCGGTGGCGGTGATGGCGGTGGCGGTGATGAGAACGTTTCTCACCGTGCAGTCGCGTGCTGCTGACCTCCGCCCCCAGTAAAGGGAGCACCTTGGTCCTCAGGGTCTCCTCGGCGGCCAGCAGGTGACCTCGCGAGGTCAGCAGGACCACAGAGCTGCCCGGTCACACGGGTAGAGTTGGGGGGGGGGGGGTGGAGTCGTCGACACGCGAGGGTCAGCGGGTGACGGACACGCAGGGGCCTGGGTCGCGGTGTGGCGGCGCGTCCCCACCCCCCGGCGCTCACCCATCCCGCACGCCGTGCGTCACGTACAGCTGCAGGCTGCCCGGCTGGCGGCGCAGCGCCTGCGCGTCAAACGTCTTGCGCGCCGCCACCTTCCCCGTGCCGCCGTCCAGCACCAGCAGCTGCAGGCCGTCCTCGGCGTGCGGGAAGCTCACGCCGTCCACCTGGGGGTGGCAGTGGCGGTGGAACTGCTTTCCACGATTAGCACGGGCGGCTACGTACGGTACGACAGAAGTCCTACGTACGTAGTAGGGCCCGCGAGACCCACAAGCCCCCACCCCTCACAAGTTAAAAGGATTCAGTGCGAAGATCTTGGCAGTGAAAGCAGCACAAAATGCATAAAGCCGCCGCCGCCGCCGCCTCCTCGTTCGGCCTGGGAGGTGGCGTCGTCGGACGCGGTGTCACCCCGCAGGGTGTCGCGGGGTGTAACCGCGGGGTGTAGGCGTTACCACGGCGACGGCGTACTCGTACTGCCGCTTGTAGCGCAGCGAGTGCGTCTCGAGCTTGACCTCCACAAACTCCTCCCGTGCGTCCTGACAAAGACAAAAGACCCCCCCCCACGCAGAGCTTCGGCACAGCCGTGACGGTCGGCACGGCACACGATGGAGACTCGTAGCGCACTGACCACCACGCCGCCACTCACTCGCCTCTCACGAGCACGCTTGCCTACGTGCGGCGCACAAGAAGATCAACGTACGTACTTCTGGGGCAAGCACGGTTAGCGCAGCGCCGAGCCAGCCGTCTGACCCACGGTGACCCAGTGTCAGGGTGACCCGTGACCCCCCCCCTCAGTGGAGTGTCCCCTGGTGACACGGAGGCCTCATCAGTCGGTTCAGTCGGTTTATTTCAGGTAAGACCCAACTTGAACTAAGAAGCTCTGAGTAAATGGTGTCCCGGTGACCTGATGACTCAATTACCCTGATGACTCATTGACCCTGATGACTCATTGACCCTGATGACTCATTGACCCTGATGAATCAATGACCCTGATGACTCATTGACCCTGATGACTCAATGACCCTGATGACTCATTGACCCTGATGACTCAATGATCCTGATGACTCATTGACCCTGATGACTCATTGACCCTGATGACTCATTGACCCCGATGACTCAATGACCCCGATGACTCAATGATCCTGATGACTCATTGACCCTGATGACTCATTGACCCTGATGACTCATTGACCCTGATGACTCAATGACCCTGATGACTCAATGACCCTGATGACTCATTGACTCTGATGACTCAATGACCCTGATGTAACCGGTGAACCCGCCACGTGCGTCGAGCGAAGCCGACAATCCCCGGATGACCCCCATGACACAGCGACCCCCCCCCCTGTGAGGGACCCCCCCCCCCCCTGTGAGGGACCCCCCACCGTGAGGGCCCCCCCCACCGTACCGGGTCGCGCCGGGCGAGGCGCCGCGGCATGGGCAGCTCGGCCACGGGGACCGTCGCGTACTTGGGGTAGGCGTGCGCCTCGCAGTCGGCCCTGGCGGCGGCGGCGGCGGCGTGGGGCAGCTGAGCCTTCACCTTGACACGCTCGCAGCCACGCACCGAGCAGAACGCGTGGCCCTCGCGCGCAAAGTGCGAGCGCACGCGGAGGAAGAGCAGCCTGGTGGAGGGGGGGGGGGTGAGTACTCACAGGTACCTGTCTACCCTGGGGAGCACCTGTGTACCTTGGGGCATTGAGAGAGTGAGCGAGTGAGCGAGTATTCGCGGCGACCCTGCCCCACCCGATTGTACCACCCCCTCCCCACTCCTGCTGCACCCCTAGGTGTACCCCCCACGCGTACCCCCACGTGTACCCCCCCCACGTGTACCCCCCACAGGTGTACCCCCCCCACGTGTACCCCCCTCGTGTACCCCCTAGGTGTACCCCCACGTGTACCCCCCCCCACGTGTACCCCCACGTGTACCCCCACGTGTACCCCCCCCCCCCCCCCACTGCGTGTACCCCGTGTCCTCGTCCCAGTAGTAGAGATCCCTCCGCCCGTGCAGCAGCGCCGGCGTCGAGAGCTTGTGCAGCGTGGCGGCACGGGAGAAGGCGCCGACCTTCCTGGTGCTGCGCCCTTGCCGCTCGTGCACGTCCCGCACCACGCTGAACGCCGTGCCGCGTGGGTAGCACAGCGCCAGCAGCACCCACTCGGCCCTGGGGGGGGCGATGGAGGGTGGTTTGCGTTAGGCAAAGATGAGGGCTAACATTTTTTTGTTCTTGCTCAACATTTTCTTCCCGGGTCGTCGCTGGTCTAGGCTGGAGTGCGTGGCACGTGACTTGTAGCCAGGGGTATACTTGATGTGGGTGTGCCGTGTTGTGGGCGTATTCTCCAGCACGCTGGCATCGACTGGAGTAGGCAGAGCATCCGTAGCCAAACACAGCCGCAGCGGGAGGTGTGGTGGATGTGGTGGATGTGGTGGATGTGGTGGATGTGGTGGATGTGGTGCTGCGGTGCAATGGTCGGCACGGTGCGCCCGCGATCCGGGGGTGGCGCCGTTCGACTCCCATCTTGAGACAGCCGGCACGATGTTGGCCCCCTGCCCGCCCCGGCGGCGTGAACGGCTCCACCGGCGCCGCGAGGCTACGGTCGGCGTGCCGGGCGTGCCGGCACCTGTCGAAGTTGATGGGCCAGATGGTGACCTCCTCGGGCGCGGGGCCGTCCCAGTGCAGCGTGTAGCCGCGGCGCAGCGCCACCACGGGCTGGTACTGCTGGTAGTGGCCCCCGCGGCCCAGGGCCCCCTCCAGCGTCATCCCCCTGCCCGGGTAGTCGTTCCGCACCACGCGCAGACGCAGCCACGCCGGGTTGCGCGCCTGGATGTAGAGCTATTGGGGGGGGGGGGGCACGGCGGCGGGGTCAGCAAGGCGAGGGGGGCGCTTCTCGCGACGGGGGTTGCGGGGGCACTCGGGTGACCCCTCGGGTGACCCCTCAGGCGACCCCCTCGCCCGTCCACACGCCCGACTCGTCGCCCAACGCGTGCAGACGCAGCCTCGCCGGCGCGGCCCGAGCCGCGAGCGATGGCCCCGCGGGGGGCCGAGCCCCCCGCGGGGGGCCGAGCCCCCGTGCTGACCTGCGCGTAGCGGCCGCTGCAGAGCGCGGCGCGCCAGTCCGGCACGTCGAGGCAGTCCGGGTTGCGCAGCAGGAAGTTGTCGTGGCGCAGGAGGAAGGCGCCGGGGAAGCCGCTCACCGAGCCGTCGCCGTCGCGGAAGATGGCCGTGCGGTCCCCGTCCAGCTCCATGCGGTGGAACCACGGGCCCGGCCGCCCGAAGAACACGCGGCTCCACAACTACGGGGGGAGGAGAGGGGGGGGGAGAAGGGGGGGAGAGGAGAGAGGGGGGGGGTGACGGGAGAGGGGGGTTCGTGGTGAGGAGAGGGAAAGGAAAGGTGTAAGAGCAGCAGCAGCGGGTGAGAGTAAGGGGGAAGTGAGTAGTGGAAGAGAGAAGGGGGAGAGTTGAGAGCAGTGGACAGGGCAGGTGAAGGAGTAGAGGTGAGGTTGAGGGATGGGAGGTGGCAGAAGCCGCTACAGACGGCGAGAGTCTCGCCAGGGTCACTGCCGGGCACTCTCCGTGCGTCACCCAGCCCACGCGTACACCACCCCTCGTGCACCCCTCTCCGCGCACCGGCACGTCCTCGAAGCGCACGCCCGTGACGTTGTTCCGCGGGCAGCTCTGCCACGAGTTGTTGAGACGGAATCCGATGGCGCTGGCGAGTCGCGAGCCGAGCGCCGCGAAGCGCCGGAACAGAACGTCCCGCACGAGGATGGGGCCGTCGTACACCTGCAGGCCCCGCATCGGGAAGTTCCTACGGGGGGACGGAGGGGGGGTGGGTGCAGAGAGAGGGGTCAGAGAGGGGTCAGAGAGGGGTCAGAGAGGGGTCAGCTCACCGCAGCAGCGAGTTCCCCTCTCTTCAGAAACGGCCTCCGAGAACGATGATCAGCCGCCCAGCACATCGTGTGAGTGACAGGTGACAGGTGTGGGGGGTGGGGGAGGTGGTGTGAGTGACAGGTGACAGGTGTGGAGGGTGGGGGGAGGCGGTGTGAGTGAGTGACACGTGACAGGTGTGGGGGGAGGTGGTGTGAGTGACACGTGACAGGTGTGGGGGGAGGCGGTGTGAGTGACACGTGACAGGTGTGGGGGGAGGCGGTGTGAGTGAGTGACACGTGGCAGGTGTGGGGGGAGGCGATGTGAGTGACACGTGACAGGTGTGGGGGTGGGGGGAGGCGGTGTGAGTGAGTGACACGTGACAGGTGTGGGGGGAGGTGGTGTGAGTGACACGTGACAGGTGTGGGGGGAGGCGGTGTGAGTGACACGTGACAGGTGTGGGGGTGGGGGGAGGCGGTGTGAGTGAGTGACACGTGACAGGTGTGGGGGTGGGGGGAGGCGGTGTGAGTGACAAGTGACAGGTGTGGGGGTGGGGGGAGGCGGTGTGAGTGACAGGTGACAGGTGTGGAGGGTGGGGGGAGGCGGTGTGAGTGACACGTGACAGGTGTGTGGGGGGGGGGAGGCGGTGTGAGTGACAGGTGACAGGTGTGGGGGTGGGGGGAGGCGGTGTGAGTGAGTGACACGTGACAGGTGTGGGGGTGGGGGGAGGCGGCGACTCGCCTGGCGCGCGGCAGGGTGCGGTTCTTGCCGTCGGTGCCCCCAGGGCCCCAGGGGACCGCCCCGGGGCCCCCCGGGGTGCCCAGGTTGCCGCTCTCCCCCACGAAGAGAGAGTTGCGCACCTCCTGCATGGAGCCCTCGTCATCCGGGAACGTCCCGCCGCTACGCAGACACAGACAAAGGTGCCCCGGCGCGTAGCCCACGCAGGCTGTTGGGGCAAGTGCTGTTCGCGAGCGAGGTGGCGTGGTCAGGACCAACGCCTTTGCCTCTCCCACATGGTGATGTTAACACGCCGCGCCAGTCCACCCTGGGGGAGGCCCGGGACCGGTTCGGATATTCGTCACCGATGTTGCCCGCGGTCGGGATTCGAACTCGGGTGGCCGACCGCGAGCGGCACGATTCGACACGGACACAGCGCCTCCTCGTGGCCGCCGGGGGACCCAGCACGGACATCGGCACTGGCGTCACCTTAGCAGGACAAATGTCTAGGCGACGCTTCGGGCAATGGCCCTGCTTCATGGCGCGTTATTCATCGATGCTTCGCGACGCGATCGACCGACCGGGCCGTGGCGTCGTCCGGGTCACTCACCTCGCCAGGGTCAACCCGATGCCGTTGTCCGCGAATCTGCACGCATCGACACCATCATCACCACATTAACACCATTAACATTATAGCATTAACACCATCATCACCGCATTAACATCATCAACATTATAGCATTAACACCATCATCACCACATTAACACCATCAACATTATAGCATTAACACCATCATCACCACATTAACACCATCAACATTATAGCATTAACACCATCATCACCACATTAACACCATCAACATTATAGCATTAACACCATCATCACCACATTAACATCATCAACATTATAGAATTAACATCATCATCACCACATTAACACCATCAACATTATAGCATTAACACCATCATCACCACATTAACACCATCAACATTATAGCATTAACACCATCATCACCACATTAACACCATCAACATTATAGCATTAACACCATCATCACCACATTAACACCATCAACATTATAGCATTAACACCATCATCACCACATTAACACCATCAACATTATAGCATTAACATCATCATCACCACATTAACACCATCAACATTATAGCATTAACACCATCATCACCACATTAACACCATCAACATTATAGCATTAACACCATCATCACCACATTAACACCATCAACATTATAGCATTAACACCATCATCACCACATTAACACCATCAACATTATAGCATTAACACCATCATCACCACATTAACACCATCAACATTATAGCATTAACACCATCATCACCACATTAACACCATCAACATTATAGCATTAACATCATCATCACCACATTAACACCATCAACATTATAGCATTAACACCATCATCACCACATTAACACCATCAACATTATAGCATTAACACCATCATCACCACATTAACACCATCAACATTATAGCATTAACACCATCATCACCACATTAACACCATCAACATTATAGCATTAACACCATCATCACCACATTAACACCATCAACATTATAGCATTAACATCATCATCACCACATTAACACCATCAACATTATAGCATTAACACCATCATCACCACATTAACACCATCAACATTATAGCATTAACATCATCATCACCACGTCAGCATCATAGCATCGACACCATCATCACCACATTAACATAATCAATATTATAGCATCAACAACATCATCACCAACATCATCGTCAACATCATCATCACCATCGTGTCATCAGCAATGGCATTTCCTTTAATTAAAACTCGTGGAGAATCCCATGAGGTGGAGCTTCGCGGTTTGCAAGGGATAACTTTCACCCTCCCACTGCCGCACCACACAAAGTCAATTCTCTATCAGATACAAAATATCATCATCATCATCCCTCAATCACATAGACCACGGGTCAGCCTGATGAACAAAATGACCCAGTAGTCTCCCCAATGTAACCTAACTCTCAAAGACAAATACAAACTCTCACACACACACAAGCACACATGCGCACACAAAAACACACGTAGTTTTTTTAACACTAAGTTTAACATGTTTAACTAGCGTGCTTTGTTTAATTGATGGAACAATCTGGTTTTGTATAAATATTGTTATTTTTTGGGTGTGGTTTTCATAGAAGCCCTCTTGGGTTCCCAGCCTCATCTGCGCAGATTTTTTTACCTGTCTTTTATCTGCAATGTTAGCCTTTCACTTTTCTGCGCAAGTAAACAATAAATAATATCATATATAATAAAAAATATCATATATAATAAAAAATATATCATATATAATAAATAATATCATATATAATAAATATCATATACAATAAATAATATCATATATAATAAATAATATCATATATAATAAATAATATCATATATAATAAATAATTTCATATATAATAAATAATATCATATACAATCAATAATATCATATATAATAAATAATATCATATATAATAAATAATATCATATACAATCAATAATATCATATATAATAAATAATCTCATATATAATAAATAATATCATATATAATAAATAATATCATATATAATAAATAATATCATATATACTAAATAATATCATATATAATAAATAATATCATATATAATAAATAATATCATATATAATAAATAATATCATATACAATAAATAATATCATATATAATAAATACTATCATATACAATAAATAATATCATATATAATAAATAATATCATATAAAATAAATAATATCATATATAATAAATAGTATCATATATAATAAATAATATCATATATAATAAATAATATCATATATAATAAATAATATCATATATAATAAATAATATCATATATAATAATTAATATCATATCTAATAAATAATATCATATATAATAAATAATATCATATATAATAAATAATATCATATACAATAAATAATATCATATATAATAAATAATATATACAATAAATAATATCATATATAATAAATAATATCATATATAATAAATAATATCATATATACTAAATAATATCATATACAATAAATAATATCATATGTAATAAATAATATCATATATAATAAATAATATCATACATAATAAATAATATCATACATAATAAATAATATCATATATAATAAATAATATCATATATAATAAATAATATCATATATAATAAATAATATCATATATAATAAAAAAATATCATATATACTAAATAATATCATATATAATAAATAATATCATATATAATAAATAATATCATATACAATAAATAATATCATATATAATAAATACTATCATATACAATAAATAATATCATATATAATAAATAATATCATATAAAATAAATAATATCATATATAATAAATAGTATCATATATAATAAATAATATCATATATAATAAATAATATCATATATAATAAATAATATCATATATATTAATTAATAGCATATATAATAAATAATATCATATATAATAAATAATATCATATATAATAAATAATATCATATATAATAAATAATATCATATACAATAAATAATATCATATATAATAAATAATATATACAATAAATAATATCATATATAATAAATAATATCATATACAATAAATAATATCATATACAATAAATAATATCATATACAATAAATAATATCATATATTATAAATAATATCATATACAATAAATAATATCATATACAATAAATAATATCATATATAATAAATAATATCATATATAATAAATAATATCATATACAATAAATAATATCATATACAATAAATAATATCATATACAATAAATAATATCATATATAATAAATAATACATTATATAATAAATAATATCATATATAATAAATAATATAATATATAATAAATAATAACATATATAATAAATAAGATATATAATAAATAAGATATATAATAAATAATATGATATATAATAAATAATATATATTATAAATAATATATATAATAAATAATATATATAATAAATAACATATATAATATGTGTCCAAGCTGTGGATTGATGCACACAGTGTTGTTCGCCAGTTACACATATCAAGGCCGGCACGGCACGCGAGGGGGTGGGTGGCCAGCACCACCGCTCGACCGCCTTTGTCTCCCGAGTGGCGATGTCTACAAACCGCACCAGTTACTTATTTGAGGCCGAGTCGACCTAGGGGAGCGCCAGGACTGCTTCACATATTCGCCACCACGGAATCGAACTCGGGTCACCGCTCCTTCACATCCGCGCACGTTCAACGATGCGCGGATGCACTGTAAACCCCACAGCGTGCCACGGACGCATACTCTTGATCACTCTCCGTGGTGGGGGATGCAGGGCTACATGATGATCATAGAGGGGTCACCGGGGTCACCGGGTCGCGGTCCTCACTGGCAGTGGTCGAGCCTCACGTCCCCGCCACGGAGCCACGCGCCGTGCTGCTGGTTCTTGAAAGCGGTAAACCCCTGGATGAGCGCCGGGACGCGCGGCTTGCGAGGGTCCGCGTCCTCGTGGGGTCCGTACCTGGGGTCACGTGGGGTCATTAGGTCACCGCTTCCATGCCTGAGGTCGGGGAGGGCTCGCACTCTCAACTGGGTGACACGCAGGGTCACGCTCACACCTTGGGTCACACGGTGTCACACGCTCTGACCACGTGGGGTCACAGGGTCAGTGTTCTTCCCCACTTCCTGCTTTGGAATTGTCCCCCAATTGGTGCTCCTCTAACCTGCCCCCCCCCTAATATTAATCAGCAAGCGCCATGCCCCCCGCTGCCCCCACCACCCCTGGTACCTGGCTCCCACGATGCTCAGGTAGGGCCTCTTGTCTCGCTCGTTCGGCTCCGTTGTTTTGACTCCATGATCGAGGATCATCCCAGCCTAGAGTGGGGGGTGGGGAGGGGACCGGTGGGGGCAGGGCGAGGAGTCACGGCCACGACAATGGAAATCAGCCCAAGACCCTCATCATACACCTAGCCCAGTGGTTCTTAACCTGGGTTCGATCGAACCCCAGGGGTTCGGTGAGTCGATCTCAGGGGTTCGGCAGAGCCCCCGCCACGGAGGTCCGGACACACTTGAATTATTGTGTAAATTTGTGATGACACACACGGCCCGCTTGGCCATCACTGGCTGCAGATGATCATGCTACACTGCTTGGCCAAGCAGCGCTGCGGGGAATTTAGTGCGTACTCAGTAGTCAACGTGTGACTGTTGTTGTCGTACGTCGTGTGATTTCTTTAATATTTTATCCATACTAACTATGTCGGGCAAAAGAAGAAAGTGGTCGGACGAATATGTACAACATGGATTCTCATGTATCACGGAACGTGATGGGAGTGAGCGTCCTATCTGCATGATTTGCAACGCCAAGTTGAGCAACTCTAGTCTTGCACCGGAAAAACTAAAGGAACACTTCTTGAAGCTGCATGGAGACGGGGAATACAAGAACACAACACTTGCTGAATTCAGGGTGAAGAGAGCCAGATTCGATGAAAGGGCCACTCTGCCTGCTCTTGGATTTGTACCTGTTAACAAACCGATCCTGACAGCATCGTACGAAGTTGCTTACCTGATCGCAAAGCAGGGCAAGCCACACACCATTGGTGAAACACTTGTGAAACCAGCTGCATTAAAGATGGCGAATCTGATACTCGGAACAGCGGCCGAAGGTAAATTATCCCAAATTCCCCTTTTAAATGACACCGTCAGTGACAGAATAGAAGACATGAGTAAAGACATCTTGGCTCAAGTAGTCGCGGATCTGATTTCAAGCCCGGCAAAATTCAGCCTTCAACTCGACGAAACCACAGACGTTTCTGATCTAAGCCAGCTTGCTGTTTTTGTACGCTATGTGAAAGACGACATGATAAAAGAAGAGTTTTTATTTTGTAAGCCTCTTACAACAACAACGAAGGCAGCCGATGTGAAGAAGCTTGTGGATGACTTCTTCAGAGACAACAATCTTTCATGGGATATGGTTTCTGCAGTTTGTACGGACGGAGCTCCAGTCATGCTGGGAAGAAAGTCTAGTTTTGGTGCGCTAGTAAAGGCCGATGCACCACACATCATTGTGACGCATTGTATTCTGCACAGGCATGCGTTGGCAACAAAAACCTTACCTCCAAAAATGGCAGAAGTATTAAAAACTGTGGTGGAATGTGTGAACTATGTGCGAAAAAGTGCTCTGAGGCACCGCATCTTCAGTGAGCTGTGTAAAGAAATGGGCTCTGAATTTGAGGTACTTCTGCTCCATTCTAATATTCGGTGGTTATCCCGGGGACAGGTGCTGAATCGTGTTTTTGCCATGCGTGTGGAATTAGCCCTGTTTTTGCAAGAGCACCAACACTGCCATGCAGATTGCTTCAAAAATCCTGAGTTCATTCTCATTTTAGCGTACATGGCTGATATATTCGCAGTTCTCAATCATCTCAATCAGCAGATGCAGGGTGGTGGAGTCAATATCATGGAAGCGGAAGAACACCTGAAGGCTTTTCAAAAAAAGCTACCGTTATGGAAACGACGAACAGAGAACAATAACTTCGCAAACTTCCCGCTTCTGGACGACTGTGCAAGTAAGATCGAAGATGTGTCTGGAATCGGAGATATTTCTGTATCCACGGAACTGAAGCAAACAATTGCCACGCACTTAGATGAGCTTGCAAAGTCTCTCGACGGATATTTCCCTACAAGAGAGTCATATCCAGCATGGGTGAGACAGCCGTTCACGTTTGCTGTTGAAACAGCAGATGTCAATGATTAATTCCTCGACGAAATCATTGAAATTCAGCAGAGCCAGGTTCAACAGCAACTCTTCAGAACAACAATGCTCTCAACGTTTTGGTGTCGACAAATGAACAAGTATCCAGTTATTGCTAAGAAAGCCCTGGATTTTTTTATACCATTTGTTACAACATATCTTTGTGAGCAATCCTTTTCGAGGATGCTGGACATAAAAACGAAGAAAAGGAACAGACTTTGCTGTGAAAATGACATGAGAGTGGCACTTGCCAAGGTGAAGCCACGCATATCTGAACTGATCTCTCAAAGGCAACAGCAGAAGTCACATTGATTTCCAGGTATGTAATTTGTTGTGAGTTTATGCATTGTGTTGGTTTTATTCTTTGAACAAGGTAATGTTCATGCACGGCTCATTTTGTGTACCAGTAAAAAACATATCTATGTCTTGAATTTGAAAAAAATCACATTTTATTTTTCACTAAAGAGGGGTTCGGTGAATGCGCATATGAAACTGGTGGGGTTCGGTACCTCCAACAAGGTTAAGAACCACTGACCTAGCCACTCTCACCCCATCACCCCCATCATACACCCAGCCACTCTCACGACCAACACCCCCATCATACACCCAGCCACTAACACCCCATCACCCCCATCATACACCCAGCCACTCTCACCACCAACACCCCCATAATACACCCAGCCACTAACACCCCATCACCCCCAACATACACCCAGACACTCTCACCCCCATCACCCTCATCATACACCCAGCCACTAACACCCCCATCATACACCCAGCCACTCTCACCCCCATCACCACCATCATACACCCAGCCACTGTGACCCCCATCACCCCCATCATACACCCAGCCACTAACACCCCCAACACCCCCATCATACACCCAGCCACTCTCACCACCAACACCCCCATCATACACCCAGCCACTAACACCCCATCAACCCCATCATACACCCAGCCACTAACACCCCCATCAACCCCATCATACACCCAGCCACTAACACCCCATCACCCCCAACATACACCCAGCCACTCTCACCCCCAACACCCCCATTATACACCCAGCCACTAACACCCCATCACCCCCATCATACACCCAGCCACTAACACCCCATCACCCCCAACATACACCCAGCCACTCTCACCCCCAACACCCCCATCATACACCCAGCCACTGCCACCCCCATCACCCCCATCATACACCCAGCCACTAACACCCCATCACCCCCATCATACACCCAGCCACTAACACCCCATCACCCCCATCATACACCCAGCCACTAACACCCCATCACCCCCATCATACACCCAGCCACTCTCACGCCCATCACCCGCATCATACACCCAGCCACTCTCACCCCAGTCACCCCCATCATACACCCAGCCACTAACACCCCATCACCCCCATCATACACCCACCCACTCTCACCCCCGTCACCTCCATCATACACCCAGCCACTAAAACCCCATCACCCCCATCATACACCCAGCCACTCTCACGCCCATCACCCGCATCATACACCCAGCCACTAACACCCCCATCACCCCCATCATACACCCAGCCACTCTCACTCCCATCACCCCCATCATACACCCAGCCACTGTGACCCCCATCACCCGGTAGTTGGAGTGGGCCCGGTTTCCTGTGAACTCCCCGAGGGGGAGGTGCTCCGTGTAGCCGGGGGGGTAGGAGCCCGCGGAGAGGCCCGTGGCCACGTGGTGGAAGATGAACCAGAAACCCACCTCCTGCACGCAACACGCAATAACGCCTGTGTGTACACGTGTCACTCAACACCTGTACACGCGGCACGCCTGTGTGTACACGTGTCACTCAACACGTGTACACGCGGCATGCCTGAGTGTACACGTGTCACTCAACACCTGTACAGACGGCATGCCTGTGTATACACGTGTCACTCAACACCTGTACACGCGGCATACCTGTGTGTACACGTGTCACTCAACACCTGTATACACGGCATGCCTGTGTGTACACTCAGCACCTGTACACACGGCATGCCTGTGTGTACACTCAGCACCTGTACACACGGCATGCCTGTGTGTACACTCAGCACCTGTACACACGGCATGCCTGTGTGTACACTCAGCACCTGTACACACGGCATGCCTGTGTGTACACTCAGCACCTGTACACACGGCATGCCTGTGTGTACACTCAGCACCTGTACACACGGCATGCCTGTGTGTACACTCAACACCTGTACACACGGCATGCCTGTGTGTACACTCAACACCTGTACACACGGCATGCCTGTGTGTACACTCAACACCTGTACACACGGCATGCCTGTGTGTACACTCAACACCTGTACACACGGCATGCCTGTGTGTACACTCAACACCTGTACACACGGCATGCCTGTGTGTACACTCAACACCTGTACACACGGCATGCCTGTGTGTACACTCAACACCTGTACACACGGCATGCCTGTGTGTACACTCAACACCTGTACACACGGCATGCCTGTGTGTACACTCAACACCTGTACACACGGCATGCCTGTGTGTACACTCAACACCTGTACACACGGCATGCCTGTGTGTACACTCAACACCTGTACACACGGCATGCCTGTGTGTACACTCAACACCTGTACACACGGCATGCCTGTGTGTACACTCAACACCTGTACACACAGCATGCCTGTGTGTACACTCAACACCTGTACACACGGCATGCCTGTGTGTACACTCAACACCTGTACACACGGCATGCCTGTGTGTACACTCAACACCTGTACACACAGCATGCCTGTGTGTACACTCAACACCTGTACACACGGCATGCCTGTGTGTACACTCAACACCTGTACACACGGCATGCCTGTGTGTACACTCAACACCTGTACACACGGCATGCCTGTGTGTACACTCAACACCTGTACACACGGCATGCCTGTGTGTACACTCAACACCTGTACACACGGCATGCCTGTGTGTACACTCAACACCTGTACACACGGCATGCCTGTGTGTACACTCAACACCTGTACACACGGCATGCCTGTGTGTACACTCAACACCTGTACACACGGCATGCCTGTGTGTACACTCAACACCTGTACACACGGCATGCCTGTGTGTACACCTCCCTTGCCTATAAGCAGAAGGTCTTGGGTTCGATTCCGACCCCTGACCCCTCTATATTTGGAGTCCGCGTGGTCTCTCTCTCCCCGTGGTGGTCGTGTGAATCGTTCTCCGGGTTTCTCCGGTTTTGCCCTTCTCCTGCACATTGAGAATCAACGCCCGCTGAGATTATTTGGCTGATGCTATAACTTCCCACGTACGCTGACGATATCAGCCACTGCGATGAGCAGCTATGATCACATTTGGCCAGGTCGCCTCTGAACCAAACCTCAGTGGGCTTCACCTGGGTACCAGCTGCGTCACGAGCGTGGGGGGTGCCTTGCCCCCCCCCTCCCCCCCTGGTGGCCAAAGCTACGAGTTTGGCCCCACTTGACAACCACCATAAGATTTGTTTTCAAAATGCTTCATTGTGTGATCAGGCAAGGGGAGCCGCGACGTACAATAGCTGGGGCCTCACCCGACGGATTGCCGCACCCGCTGAGCCAACAATGTCGTGGTCACTTCGCCACTGGCTGGCGAATGTAGTCGTTCAAGTTGCGTTTGGCGGTTTAGAGTGGTCACGTGCTCACCGCGAAATCAGCGGCGCGCTGCGCGTCCCGACCCATCTCACGGCAGATCGGAGGGGCAGGGATCTGTCGTCGCTTTCCGGCACGGCAGATCCCCACCCGACCCCCGTGGTCTCGGGGGGTCCCTCACCTCTGACCCCGCAGCCGCGCAATCGATGACGTCGTTGTTGGGGTTCGAGATCCAGAACGTGGACACGGCGCTGTGGGTGGTGGCGGGGAGGGAGGAGAGAGCAGAGAGATGAGAGACAGAGGTAGAGGCAGTGGAAGTCAGGTGCCAGCGGAGGCAGACGCACACACCATGCACCCCACGCACCCCACACACACCCAGCTAGCCAGACGCCTCGTGCTCACTGCTCGCCGCTCACCCCGCTGGGTTCAACTCTGTCCCAAGTGATTCGTCCGGGTCCCATCCCAAGCTAGACAGAGCCCCGTGCGTCCTGTGCTGACCCAGCGATTCCGAGCGATCCACCCGCTCCCCCCCCCCACCCCCCCAGCGGATGGCAGCCAATCAGAGATGACGTGGAGCGCAGGTCGAGGTTGACGCGTCACTGACACCTGAGCCACGGCCACCACGTGATTGACCGTTCTCCACCGTGCGGTCACCCCACACACCGCGTCGGCCAGCCGGGTCACAACAATCCACCTGATCCAGAATTATATTTAGTTTGGCCATGTGACGTTCTGGGCAACAACATTTTTTTTGTCGTGAGACCCTCCACCACCCGACGCAGCAGCGGCAGAGGCAGCAGCCGAACAACCCGTTTGGAATTTAGCCGAAGCCATTCCGCGGCCCGACTCAAAACTCGACTGTGAAACGTGACGGCGATCGTCCACCCCGACGCGTCCTGCGGGAAACCCGGAGACGGCCGTGGCCGACCCAGAGGAGCCCGGGATTGATGACGCTGCTCCTGCTGCTGCGAGGAGAAAGGGGCTCAGTGTGGGACTCATCGCTAGAGCTGCTGCAGACAGGGCCGCGTGTGGCCTGGGAGAGGCCAACTCACGGTTAAACCTCGGCTACCGGGGAACGATGCAAACGGACGAACTCATCGCAGCATCGGCCGCAGTCGAGCCGAAACGTTGCAGGAGTCAACGTCCCCTCCCACCCCCGCCTCACCTGCAGTCCTGCCGGGGCCGCGGCTCGTACCCCGGGAAGGCCTCGAGGGCTGCGGCCGCGCGGCACATTTTCCCGTCGCGGTCCGAGGGCAGCAGCGAGCCGGGCTTGACGAGCAGCCCCACGCAGTGTCGCAGCGTGTTCCTCTGCTCGGGGCCGTCCTCCAGGAAGAAGCAGTGGCCCAGAATGTCGTACCCCACCACGTCCTCCACCTGGGGGGGAGGGCGAGGGGGTAGGGAGGAGGGGGTCCCCGCAAGGACGTGGGAAGCGGTCAGCGGAACTGGTGCAGACGCTTGGATCGAGAGTCGTGCGGCTTGAGTGGACGCGCGTTATTCCTGCAAGCTGCTCCGCGATCGGCTGTCGCGATCAGCTGCTCCACGATCAGCTGTCGCGATCAGCTGCTCCGCGATCAGCTGTCGCGATCAGCTGCTCCGCGATCAGCTGTTGCGATCAGCTGTCACGATCAGCTGCTCCGCGATCAGCTGTTGCGATCAGCTGCTCCGGAATCACGAGTTAACAGCAACAGCCAGCGGATTCAGATGTATGTATGTTTCACTTGTTTCACACCGTACGTAGCCAACCGTGGTGATCGGAGGTGCGGGTGACAGCCCACTAAATTAGGGTGGGGGGCAATCTTCCCCATTGCCTCCACCCCCCCCCCCCCCGCGTGCCCCCCATGCTCACCAGGAGTCCGCTGGTGGCGTGGATGGTGACGCAGCGCGAGAAGGAGTGCCGCACCGTGACGGAGCGCACGTACGTGGGGGGCTCGTACCCCCCCAGCGCGTCCACGTCCCCCGCCAGGTGGAAGTGCACGGGGTAGTGGCCCAGCAGCTGCTGTCCCATGTGGCGCAGCTCCACGCCCTCGATGTGCACCGAGCGGAACCCGGCCTCCACCTGCCCTCAGCCGGGGCGCGGGGGGGAGGGGAGGTTAACCCCGGGTGGGGGTCAGCTGCCATAATAATAATGTCACTGTCATATTGTACCACGGCACAGTGATTCGCTGGCTCGCTCGTTCGCTCGCTCTCGTAGAGAGAGAGAGAGGAGGCGATTCAGAGGTGCCAGGAGGAGGCACCACAGACGAGGAGCGGGAAGGCAGCAGCAGCCACGCGGTGGTGAGGAGCCAGAACTAACAACAATTGCCCAAGCTCTGCGATCCTCTGTATACGAACATGTTTGCTGAAAAATTAAACCCACGTGTATGAGCGAGGGCGCAACACTCTATCCCCGTGCAGACGGAACAGGTGGAGTCCACGTGCCTGCGGCACCGCCTTCCCCTCGTGGGCTTGGCCCCTCCTCGACGCCCGCGGGGAGTTTCTCAACATCCGCGAGCGATCCACCAACCCTGGCTGGTCGCCTCTATAGCGCTGAAGCACTGCCCGCGTGTGCCAGATGATTGGGAGGGGAAGAGCCGACCATAGGATGGGCCCCCCTACGCCTTCACACTCAACCGGAAGTATCACATCCATACTAAACTATTTTTATTTGAGCAGGTAAGGCCCACTCAGAAGAGGCTTATCGCGTGGAAAGTATTGCAGCCAAATACTCTAAACACGTGGCGATGTTGATTCTAAATGTGGAGGGAAAAACCGGAAGACCCGGAGACAAATCCATGCGACCACAAAGAGAGAGACACACAAACTCCAAATATTCAGCAGGCATCAGGGTCGGGATCGAACCCACGACCTCCTGCATAGCAGGCGAGGTAGATGACGTCTCGCCACCGCGGCGCCGTGACGTCAAAGCGCGGGGCCCCCCAAAGCGCGGGGTCCCGGGAAATCGCCCCAAATCGCCATACCCTAGAGAGGACTCTGGGGAGGGGAGAGCAAACGTGTGGGGGGGGGGGCACCTTAATGTGCCCCCCGAAGGTGTCGTAGGCGAAGAGGTGGCAGAGGTTGTCGGCGTAGCAGCGCGGCTGCGTCTCGGCCGCGATGACGACGCCGCGCGTGAGCAGCGCCACCTCGGCGCGCATGTCCACGCCGTCCACCTCGCCGCCCACGTGCACGTAGCGGGCCAGCCCCGCGGCCTTCAGCTGCCGGGGGGCGCACTCGGGGCACGGCAGCAGAGAGAAGCGCTCCGCCTGGTGCATGGAGAAGTCGGTGCTGGACACCACCACCTCGTCTCCCGGGCGCCACGACCGCGCGTCGTCCGCCACCTCCAGCACCGAGCAGTTGCGCAGCCGCTGAACCCGCACGTGCACGCGGGGCCACACTGGGGGAGGGGCGGGCGGGGGGGGTCAGCAGTGGCCCGTGCACCCCATCACGTCCTTCCACCTGGATTATTGTTGTGCTGTCGGTGTGATCATTGTGGAGATGATGATTGTGCTCCTACAGCAACAGGGGTGGAGGAGAGGGAGGAGGAAGCTCAGAGGGGGAGAGATGGGAAATTCATTCAAGGGAAAGGGGATCAGAGAAAAAGCGGTCCAGGGAAAGGGGATGATGGTAGCGGGAATCAGGAGAAAGCTGAGAGGGGAATCGGGAAGAAGAAAGGGGGGGGGGGGAGAAGAGGGAGTGGCAGAGGGGTTCAAGAGAAGGGATCAGGGAAGCGTGAGCCATGGATCTAGGAGAGGTCAAAGGTGACCCAGGGGTGCAGAAGAGAGGGGATCAGAGAGATCACCCCCCCCCTCCCCCGTAACCCCACCCCTCCCCCTCGCCCCCCTCACCTCGGCCGGCGCACAGGAACCTGACGAGGTAGGGGGGGCAGGGGGAGTCTGGGCGCGCGCGGGGGCGGCACGAGAAGCCGAACACCTTGAGGCTCTTGAGGACGAGCTCGGCCTGCAGCTCCGTCACGGCGGCGCCGTGGCGTGCGCGCACCTGCACGGGTGGGGAGTCCACACCTGTTACCTGTTACCTGCTTACTGCACCTGTACCTACACACGCACCAGCGGCACGGTGGGGGTACACATGCGGAGGCTGTGGGTTGAGTGGAGGAGGGGTGTGGTGACGGCCGATGTGCCCCTTCACGGCCAACGCCGATGACGATTGTGTGAACTCATCCCGGGCCTCCCCTTAGGTCGACTCAGCCTCCGATGAGTACCTGGTGTGGTGCGTAGTAAACATCGCCACTGGGGAGACAAAAGCGGCCGGGCGTGGTGCTGCCCACCCACCCCAACGTGTGCCTTCATAGGTGCTGCTCGCTGACAGCACTCGCCCCAACTGTTTGATCAGGCGATACAGGGGATCTTTGTAGGGCTAGTGGGGTGGGGGCTCTGGGTTGAGGGGAGGAGCTGTGGGGGAGGCGATGTGTGGGGTGAGGGGAGGGGTCACCTCGACCCGGGAGGGCCGGTCGCAGAGCAGGCCGCGGTGGAGCGCCTGCAGCTCGAAGAGACGCTCGGGGCCGCGCGACCTCCCGGGCCGCGCCAGCCACGGACTCCACTCCTCGGGGCCTGTGCAGCGGTGCGGGGGCGCGGGGGTGGGGGCACGGGGAGAGGGGGGGAGGGACTCGTGGGGTCACTCGTGGGGTCAGCCGTAGGGACACGTGGGGACTCGTCCCTGCTCGAGCTGCCCTTGATTCTCACGCTTCTGCTGCTGCTGCTGCTGCTCCTGGTGAGTCCACGGGGTGAGTGTGTGAGTGAGTGTGTGAGTGAGCGTCACCGTGTGTCCGGCAAAATAACCCCCTACCTCCTCGTGGTGCCGGACGGGCAACTCCGTCGTGGACAGTGCTGTGGGGGGAGGTTCAAATCCGATTGGCTCCTGGGGTCTGGACGGGTGCGAGAGGCTGGTAACCCCTCCACCTTCAAAAATTTACCACTAAACCACGTCTAAAATATCTAACTAATAAGCTTGTGCCGGAGGCCCCGGGGAGACAGGCGTCTATGACGTCTCCTGGCCAAACACCATTTGGCGGAGCCAGGAGATTGAATCACTACCCTCGGGGCTTCTCCAGAAACAACGAAAAGCCACTTCATGTGTCCACGTGGAATGTTCCAACGTTCACTGCGGAGGAGAGGCTGCCACTCCTCTGTCAGGAGCTGGACCGGAACCGCCTGGATCTCTGTGGCATTCAGGAGGTCCGGTGGACCGGTTCTGGCTCCTGCCACCATGAGGGGTGGAGAGTCCTCTACTCGGGGCAGCAGACTGCCAAACAACAGGGTGTGGCTCTTCTTTTGAACAAAAGAATGAAGGGGGCGTGGGAGCGTGGCGGTGAGGTGTGGGAAGCTGTAAGCCCCAGGCTACTTTGGGCTCGCCTTCCCATCAATCGGAGGCGAGGAGTGGTGGTCGTGGTTACTTATGCCCCCACCGAAGACGAACATCCGTGTAGGGATGCAGGCAAAGCCGATGAGTCAGATGCCTTCTATGACCTCCTGTCACAGGTGCTGGCTAAAATGGCCCCTCGGGATAGAGTCATCTTGTTGGGTGACTTCAATGCCCGAGTTGGTCATGATGCTGGCACCTGGTCTGGAGTGATTGGAGGGCATGGGCCAGATCAGCTCAATAACAACGTGATTGGAGGGCATGGGCCAGATCAGCTCAATAACAACGCTAGGAGGCTGCTAGATTTTTGTGCAGCCCATGGGCTTGTAATTACCAACACGCTGTTCCGGCATCGGCACATCCACACAACATCATGGATGCATGCCGGGTCCAAGCAAGAACATCTGCTGGACTACATAGTGACGGACCAGCGGATGCGAGCCCATGTCCTTGACACCAGGACCTACCGTGGAGCTGATCTGCCCTCTGACCATCGACTTGTCATCTGTAAAATGCGCCTGCCATTCTTCCGCTCCGGTGGTGGGTGTACACCCAGGACCCCATTCCAACCTAAAGTGGCCTGGTCTCAGTTATCTGATGAAAGTTGCAAGCGAGAATTTCATCATCGCCTGCAGCTGGGGTTGGCATCGTCCCCCACTCCTCCGGATGTCGAGGGTAAATGGGCGAGGTGTAGAACTGTCACTCATGCAGCTGCATTGGCTGCTTTGGGTACACGGTCCAGACCTCCCCAGAGACCCTGGCTGACAGAGGAGGTGTTCAGGATGGTTGAGAAAAAGCGACAGGCCCACTGTCATCGGCTACAGAATCCCACGACAGAGAATGAGGAGGCTTACCGCAGCCTTCACTCGGAGGCTCGGAGAGCTGTGAGGCGCTCCAAGGATGGGTGGTGGTCGTGGGTTGCTGAGGAGATGGAGTCTGCCTCAGTGGCCCGCGATCACAAACCTCTATTTAACGCCATCAAAAAAGAAACCTGCAGCGCCACACTTATTACCATCATTACAGGAAAAAACGGTGATCCAATCTCCGACCCCCAGGAACAGGTTTGCAGATTTGCTGAGCATTTCTGTGAGGTCCTGGGGGAGGGAAAATCCCTCAGCCAGGAAAACATCGTGGCAAAAAGTGAGGATGACCCTGCTGAGGCTGCGGTGCCTCAAATATTGGAAGAAGTCACCCCCTGTGAGTGGCTGGCTGAAGTGCCATCTGTTGAGGAAGTACTGAAGGCGATCCGGAGTCTGAGACCAGGAAAGGCAGCGGGCAAAGATGATCTCCCAAGCGAAATGCTGAGGTAGGGTGGTGTTTGTGCACAGACTGCCCTATATGACATCATAACAACAGTCTGGACCACTGGACGGGTTCTGCAGGCTTGGAAGGATGCCCTGGTGGTCCCCCTCTTTAAGAAGGAGGACCGCACAGACTGTAACAACTACAGGGGCATCTCACTCCTCAGTGTGCCGGGAAAGGTCCTGGCAAGGATTATTCAACATCGCCTTGCCAGGCACGCCGAGGAGAGGCTTGCGGAGCCCCAATGCGGTTTCAGGAAAGGGCGGTCCTGCACAGATGCCATATTTTCTGTCCGTCTGCTACAGCAGAGGTGTAGGGAATTCCAGCAAGACCTACATCTCTGCTTTATTGACCTGGTCAAGGCCTATGATACTATCAGTAGGTCTGGGCTCTGGGTTGTTCTTCGTGCTTTTGGAGTACCTGACCCTCTGCTCACGATCATTAAGGACCTTCATGATGGTGAGCGGGCCCGGGTAAAACTACGTGGCCGTGAGTCAGAGCCATTCCCTGTACACCTTGGGGTACGACAGGGATGTCCTCTGGCTCCCACATTATTAAACATTTATTTTGACCACGTAGTTCATGAAGCCTTCAAAAGCTGTACCGGGGGAATCTCCATATGGTACAGATATAATGGGAGACTGATCGATGCCTGGGTGCGGTCAAGGGATGGCTCCCTATTGCTCAACCACGTTATGTATGCCGATCATTTGCTAATAGCTGCTAATTCAGAGGAGGAGTTGGAGACGCTGCTGCTGAGACTGGAGCGTGCCACTAAGAGATGGGGCCTTACCATCAACCCCACCAAAACTAAGCACCTGCCTGGGTATTTTGTACCATCGGACACTCCACCCCCACAACTCCCAATCGGTGATGGGGCAGTTGTGGAGAAAGTGGAGAGTTTCCCATACCTGGGCAGTGTGCTTATGACCGGCTCCAGTTTAACAGCAGAGGTCTCACTCCGAATCAGTCGAGCGGCAATATATTTTAATCGGTTGCGTAACGCTGGGTGGAAGCTACCTGGTCTGTCGCTCCGCACTAAGCCTCAGGTCTTCTCGGCCACGGTCATTCCCTCCCATTACCCGCTTGCGAAACGTGGACCCCCCTAATGGAACATCTTCGCCGATTAGAAACATTTAGGCTAGCCTGCCTACGATCCATCCTGGGTTTAACCAGGCTGGATTGTGTGAGCTCACAAATCCTTGAAAGATCTGGGCAAGGTCCCATCGGTGAGCTCCTCCGGCAGGCAAGACTGCGTTGGCTGGGTCATGTAGCCCGCTTGCCCAGCCACCGCATGCCAAAACAGCTTTTGTTCGGCCGTACCGAGGGGGCTAAACGGGCGCGGCACGGGCTAGAGAAGAGATGGAGTGATGTGGTACGGGAGGACGTGGAGCTGAGTGGACTTGCCGATGACTGGTACCAGCGGTGTCAAGATCGGCCTCTGTGGAGGAGGCTCGTGAAGGACGCTACTGGGCAGTTGGAGGTAGTCGCCCTCCAACAACAACGCAGGGCGGAGGAGCGACGTTCACAACAACGAACGGAGCGCCGGGTGGCTAAAGCACATCAGGTTGGCACAGTAGGGGGCACAGGTGGTGCATCAGCCAGTCATCTTAGTCAGTCGACCAGTGGCACTTGATTCTGCCCCGTGACCTCCTGCCCGCGGGCGTTTGACACTTCACGTGGCATCAAGGTGCACATGGCCTGGCACAAGCGTCGTGGTGACGTCACCGCCACTTAGTGGCGAATGGCGGTTGTTGAGTGAGCGTGTGAGTGAGTGAGCCAGCGTGTGAGTGAGTGTGTGAGTGTGTGAGTGAGCGTGTGAGTGAGTGAGTCAGCGTGTGAGTGAGTGTGTGAGTGACCGTGTGAGCGAGTCAGTGTGTGAGTGAGCGTGTGAGTGAGTCAGTGTGTGAGTGTGTGAGTGAGCGTATGAGTGAGTGTGTGAGTGGATGTGTGAGTGTGTGAGTGAGTGATGGACTCGCACCTGGGGCCCACTCGCTCACTGCGCTCACGCTGAAGTAGGCTCCGTCGCGCGTTCTCAACAGCGTGGACACGGCGGCCGAGACAGGGGTGCGCTCACCTGGGGTAGGTGGGGGGAGGGACACTTTCTCGTTGACCGGACTCGCCCTCGGCACACGAATGTGGAGTTTTTATCACCACTGACCAGACCCACGGGGTTCACGTGCTCTGTGTGGAAACCGGTGTGCGGACCACGGGGTCACGTGAGCTCTCGCCTTGACTCAAGATTCTAGAGAGCCCTCCGCACCATGGAAGGGCGCTCTCCTCCTCTCCCCTGCTGCCTTCGCGTCCGTACACCTGTATAGGTGCACACGTGTGCAGGTGTGTGCACGTGTGCAGGTGTGTGCAGGTGTGTGCACACGTGTGCAGGTGTGTGCAGGTGTTTGCACACGTGTGCAGGTGCGTGCAGGTGTGTGCACACGTGTGCAGGTGCGTGCAGGTGTGTGCAGGTGTGTGCAGGTGTGTGCACACGTGTGCAGGTGTGTGCAGGTGTGTGCACCTTGGTACGTGGCGTGAGCCTCCACAGCGGTGGAGGGGTCTCCCTGCACGACCACGAGCGCCCACGGGTTCCTGCGACACGCACGGAGACACCGCCACCATCAGAGCAATCATCACCGATTTTCATCAGATTCCTCCTCCTCCTCTTCAGGATCGGCTTGATGATCTTGAGCATCAAGTTCATCACCATCGCAATGGTAATGACGCGGATGAGTTTGTGTGTTCGATAGAGGCGGCTCTTCTTCACGCCGGTGACGTCTCAGAGCGCTCTTTCACGCGACAAGCCACTGACATCTCAACACGTTTGAAAGGGCACCCCCAGTGGCAGCTGTCCCTGTGTGGCACAAGCTGAATGAGTAATGGCGAAAGACGCGACGGGATCCTGAAGCAGACGGCGCGAAGCGTTTGAACGCTTCATTACTCACGCCGCAGTATTTACCGGGGCGGCCTGCCGGACAGAAACCGCGAACCTCTGCACAAAGCGATGAGCGCGCCACCACCGGGCCGGATCGCCATATTCATCATCACATTCATCCCCCATCATCAACACCATCGCCATCGTTATCTTTGGGAACGTCATCCGCACCTGAATGTCAGCTGGCCAGCGTACCGGGCCCCCAGGGCGCTCAGCGCAGCCCGGGCGTTGCCCTCGAGGTCCCTGGCCGCCTCGTCGTTCACGGCGACAGCGAGCAGCGTGCCGGGCCGGGAGCGCGACAGCGCCGACACCAGGCGCTTGCCCTCCTCCGTGCGCCGGTGCGTGTCGAACCTGGGACACGGCGGGGGGACACGCGGGGAGATTGATGACGGCGTGGAGACACAGAGTCGCTGGGACGTGCGGACACGGGAGAGACGCCCCTCCACTCACCACTCGCCTATCCACCGAGCCCTCCACTCACCCCGTCACCTCGCCCCTCACCTGTCCACCCACAGCACCTCGCCCGTGGTGGGGGCGATGGCGTGGACCACGAGACCTCTGTGGCCCCAGCTCCGCTCAAAGTCGTAGTCCGCGGGTCCCCGCTCCGAGTCTCCCAGGGCTCCCCGCGGGGGCACCAGGGTCCTGTTGAGGAAGGTCCACGAGAGCTTCCTCTCCCCGTGCAGCTCCAGGGTACCCCCCGGGCCGACCCCCACGAACTTGCGGCCAAACTGGGGGTCAGCGGGCTCCGCCTCTTCATCCGAGCTGCCGGGTGGGGGGGAGGGGTGTGGATGACGAGGGAGGTGAGGGAGGTTGGTTGGGAGACGTGAGATTGTGATGGAGGAGGTGAGAGGGTGATGGGGGTGACGAGATGGTGATAATGGTGGTGGTGGTGGTGGCGATGAGTACCTGACACAGTTTAAACATACTCTTTGGTTCTATTCGGTAAAGTCACGTAGGTAAAAAATAAAATAACAAAAATCACGACGTTTCGGCCACAACACAAGTGGCCTTCATCAGGTGAAGGGACCGTGCTGTCATGAGGACAGCGTTGGAGTGAAAACAGCCAAGCCCAGGTCGCGTCCTTTAAGCTTGTTGTCGCGGCATCTTTTGAGGAAGGTCAGCGTCTCGATGAGCTTCGACTTCTTGTCCCGTTGTCTGTTGAAAGCTCTAACAGATAGGTGAAAGCCCTCCCCGGAGAGGTTATCAATTCTAGATTTGAAGCTTTCGTGACTGCAAGGATCCATACTCTTTGGTTCTATTCAATAGAACCAAAGAGTATGGATCTATTCAGTCAGGATCTATTCAGTCAGGATCTATTCAGTCACGAAAGCTTCAAATCTAGAACGGTTTAAACATCGCCACTGGGGCGTGATGCTGGCCACCCACCCCCTCGTGTGCCGTTTCGGCCTTCATAGGTGCTGCTCGCTAACAGCACTTGCCCCAACATGATGATTGTGGGGTTAATGGTGGTAGTGGTGATGCCGGAGGTGATGGTAACGGTGATTGGGGTGATGATGGGGGTGGTGGTGATGGGAGTGGTGACGATGGTGGTGATGGTGGTGGTGGTGATGGGGGTGATGGTGGTGGTGGTGGTGATGGTGGTGGTGATGGGAGTGGTGACGATGGTGGAGCTCATGGGTGGTGGTGATGGGAGTGGTGACGATGGTGGTGATGGTGGTGGTGGTGATGGGGGTGGTGGTGATGGGAGTGGTGACGATGGTGGTGATGGTGGTGGTGATGGTGGTGAAGGTGGTGGTGGTGATGGGGGTGGTGGTGATGGTGGTGGTGATGGTGGTGGTGGTGATGGGAGTGGTGACGATGGTGGAGCTCATGGGTGGTGGTGATGGTGGTGGTGATGGGAGTGGTGACAATGGTGGTGATGGGAGTGGTAATGATGGTGGTGGTGATGGTGGTGATGGTGGTGAAGGTGGTGGTGATGGGGGTGGTAGTGATGGGAGTGGTGACGATGGTGATGGTGGTGGTGGGAGTGGTGACGATGGTGGAGCTCATGGGTGGTGGTGATGGGAGTGGTGACGATGGTGGTGATGGTGGTGGTGGTGATGGGGGTGGTGACGATGGTGGTAGTGATGGGAGTGGTGACGATGGTGGTGATGGTGGTGGTGGTGATGATGGTGGTGGTGACGATGGTGGTGGTGATGGGAGTGGTGACGATGGTGATGATGGTGGTGGTGACGATGGTGGTAGTGATGGGAGTGGTGACGATGGTGGTGATGGTGGTGGTGGTGATGGTGGTGGTGGTGACGATGGTGGTGGTGATGGGAGTGGTGACGATGGTGGTGATGATGGTCGTGGTGACGATGGTGGTGGTGATGGGAGTGGTGACGATGGTGATGATGGTGATGGTGACGATGGTGGTGGTGATGGGAGTGGTGACGATGGTGGTGATGGTGGTGGTGGTGATGGTGGTGGTGGTGACGATGGTGGTGGTGATGGGAGTGGTGACGATGGTGGTGATGATGGTCGTGGTGACGATGGTGGTGGTGATGGGAGTGGTGACGATGGGGGTGATGGTGGTGGTGGTGATGGTGGTGATGATGGTCGTGGTGACGATGGTGGTGGTGATGGTGGTGGTGACGATGGTGGTGGTGACGATGGTGGTGGTGATGGTGGTGGTGACGATGGGGGTGATGGTGGTGAGGAGTAACGCGCTGCGCTACGAACGCTGCGACCCGAGTTCGATTTCAGCTCACGGCCAACATCAGTGACGATTATCTGAACGTGGCATGGGGCTCCCTCAGGTCGACTTCGTCTTAAATGAGTACCTGGTGCGGTGCGTAAATAGCAGTCACCACTGGGGCTAAAAAGGCGGGCGGGTGTGGTGACGGCCACTCACCCCCTCGTGGGCCGTGCCGGACCTCATAGGTGCTGCTCGCTAGCAGCACTCGCCTCAATAGCCTGTTAAGGCTATACGGGGGATCTCTTTCTTTGGCGGTGGTGATAATGGGGTGATGCGCACACACACAGGCACGTGGTAGCTAAGTGCCGTGCGAGTTGACATTTAAAACCAGCCACGCGGTCACACCCCCAAGATAAACTCATGACGCACACCCACACCCACCCACACATCCACCCACACACACCAGCACCCACCCACACACACACCCACACACCCACCCACACACACACACCTACCCACACACAAAGATCCCCCGTATAGCCTTAACAGACTGTAGGGACAAGTGCTGTTAGCGAGCACCTATGAAGGCTGGAACGGCACACGAGGGGTGGGTGGCCAGCACCACGCCCGACCGCCTTTGTCTCTCTAGTGGCGATGTTTACACACCGCACCAGGTACTCATTTGAAGCTGAGTCGACCTAGGGGAGACCCGGGACCGGTTCAGATAATCGTCACTGGTGTTGGCCGTGAGCGGGAATCGAACTCGGGTAGCCGGGTTCATAGCGCAGCGTAGCGCTAACCGCTACCGCTCCCCACACACACACACGTACATACACACACACACCCACACACAGGTACATACACACACACCCACATACACACACGTACATACACCCACACACCCACACACACACGTAATACACCCACACACACACACGTACATACACCCACACACACACACACCCACATAGACACACGCCCACACACACACACGTACACACACCCACCCACCCGCCCCCGGTGCCGCTCACCGTCCGTACAGGACGAGGGTGGCGCTGCCCCGGTAAGGGCAGCCCTCGCTGCCCACGTGCAACTCCCCGCCCAGTTCCACGAGCACGTGGCGTGCACGCAGCACCAGCGGCTCGCGCAGTCCGTCCGCTATCACCAGCCTCCCTGCAGGCGGGGGCAGCGTGTGGGCCAGCCAGAGGCAGGGCAGCATCAGTTCCATTTATGTGGTATAGCCCTGTGAGCCATCGGGTGCAACCGCAACAAACAAAAAACATAAACATGAACAAGAAAACATCTTAAAGTGACTTTGTGTGACTGCCCAAACAGAAAAATCCAGGAAAAAACAGAAAAATATTCCAGAAAAAGCACCGTACATCAACGCTGTGTGCAAAAATCCCAGTGGGATGGAAGTCAAACAACAACAACAACCACAAGACAACTTAGATTAAAGCCATCAGTCTAACTACGTACTACAACAAACAAACATGGCCAAACCAAAAAACTTTTCAAAATCACCAAAATAAAGCCATAAAAGCAATGTAACAGTGATCATAGGAACTGTGACCGAAATTTCACAATAAACGACATAAACAATATGTACCACCAAACCCTGTAGCCATAGCTGGCTGCATGAGTCACTCCACAACAGCAGGAGTATCAACATTTTTCAATGCACCTTTATAGAACAGCACACTAAATCAAAACACAAGATCATACTTTGCAGCGGTCATCTGGAGCGAAACATTTTATTTTATTTTAGGCCACTGAATAGCAGTGGCAGCTAGGGGTGTACAACTCCTCTAGAGCAGTTTTGAGAGAAGATCTCATTGGTAGTGATTCAAGTTGCAGTTGGCAATAGCATTCCAGACCCTGGGGGCATCAATAGCAAAGGCCCTTCCTCCGGTTTTTGTACGGCATGGAGCAGTCAGGCACGTGTTCAGCACGGTACAGTGTGGGGCAGTCAGGCACGTGTCCAGCACGGTACAGTGTGGGGCAGTCAGGCACGGGGCACCACGATACAGTGTGGGGCAGTCAGACACGTGTTCAGCACGGTACAGTGTGGGGCAATCAGGCACGTGTTCAGCACGGGACAACATGGGGCAGTCAGGCACGGGGCAGCACGGTACAGTGTGGGGCAGTCAGGCACGTGTTCAGCACGGTACAGTGTGGGGCAGTCATGCACGTGTCCAGCACGGTACAGTGTGGGGCGGTCAGGCACGTGTTCAGCACGGTACAGTGTGGGGCAGTCAGGCACGTGTCCAGCACGGTACAGTGTGGGGCAGTCAGGCACGTGTTCAGCACGGTACAGTGTGGGGCAGTCAGGCACGTGTCCAGCACGGTACAGTGTGGGGCAGTCAGGCACGTGTCCAGCACGGTACAGTGTGGGGCAGTCAGGCACGTGTTCAGCACGGTACAGTGTGGGGCAGTCAAGCACGTGTTCAGCACGGTACAGTGTGGGGCAGTCAGGCACGTGTTCAGTACGGTACAGTGTGGGGCAGTCAGGCACGTGTCCAGCACGGTACAGTGTGGGACAGTCAGGCACGGGGCACCACGGTACAGTGTGGGGCAGTCAGGCACGGGGCAGCACGGGTACAGTACAATGCCTTATCATCACAACTACAGTACTGTATGATTATCATCGTGGTGCTCCGTGGCCGTGGTCGCCATGGTTACCCCCGTGCAGGATGTGCAGCGAGTGCACGGTTGCCGAGGCGACCAGCAGCAGCCGCCTCCCTCGACCAATCAGCACGCGGTTCTCGGGGTTGTGACCCGGGTTCCAGCCAATCAGCGTCGGGTCCCGGTCCGGGCAAACTGCGATAAGGTGAGAAGCTTGAATATCATCTGCGTCATGACAAACATTATCATCGTTATAATCACAAATATCATCAATGAAAACTTCATCATCATCAATACAAACATTGTGAGGTGGTCAAATGAAGATGATGACGTGTTTGGGTTCTAAATATGGAGGTGATAACGTTTATACGTGAAGCGTGTGATGACGTGAGCGATGGGGTGATACTGTGTATAGATGGAGATGATGAGCTTAGTGATGAGGTGGGTTATGAGCAGTGATGTGAGTAATGAGGTGTGTGATGAGGGGACATTGTGTGTCGACGGAGGTGACGAGGTGGGTGATAAGGAGTGACGAGGTGTGTGATGTGTGATGAGGTGTGTGAGGAATGATGTGAGTAATGAGGTGTGTGATGAGGGGACACTGTGTAATGAGGTGGTGATGAGGAGGTGTCATCACCTGCCCGCGAGGCGCCCAAGTGAATGAGACACCAGCAGAGGACAAACCCGAGTCTCATGGCTCCAGGGGCACGTGACCACTCCTCCTCTCACTCCACCCTCCTCCTCTCCTTCTCTAGTGCCTCTGTCCCCCTCCTCGTCTTCACATTTACTCTCTCTTCGTCCACCTCTTCCTCTAACCTCTTCTCCGCATCGCGAATCCTCCACCTGGGCTCTCAGTTCCTGCAGCACGGTGGGGGAGGGGTGGAGGGGACAGGTAACCGCATTCAGGTAAACACGTGAACTATACGTTGAGTAAATACGAAACCAACACAACAACACTAATTGGGGGGGGGGGGGGGGTGACGTAACCACAGCGCCTGTGCCAGACTAGGTGCAACGTGAGACCACGTGACGTGTCGAAGGTCCTCTACTGGCAGGAGGCACGGGACAGACCCAGGTGACATGGGTCCACTGACTGAGATGCACCGCCTGTGCTCCCCACGATGCCAACTTACAGCGGTTTAGTCGCCCGGCGCTCTGCTCGTTGTTGTGAGCGTCCTCCACCCTCCATTACTGCTGGAGGGCGACTGCCTCCAACTGCCCAGTAGCGTCCTTCACGAGCCTCCTCCACAGAGGTCGATCTTGACACCTCTGGTACAGGTCATCGGGACGTCCACGCTGCTCCAGATCTGTCAATCTCTTCTCTAGCCCGTGTCGCACCCATTTAGCCCGCTCTATAAGCATGCCCAGCCACCGCTTGCGAGTGCGGTGGCTGGGCATGCGGGCTACGTGACCCCAAGAACGTAGCCTCGCCTGTCGGAGGAGCTCACCGATGGGAATGTGTCCAGACCTTTCAAGAATCTGTGCGCTCCTCACACAATCTAGCCTGGTTAAGCCCAGGATGGAGCATAGGCAGGCCAGCCTAAATGTTTGATACCGGCGCAGATGTTCCTTCAGAGGGCTCCACGTGTTGCAAAGCATAGAGAACGGAAGGCATAACCGTGGCCGAAAAGACCTGGAGCTTCCTGTGCAGCGACAAGCCGACTCACATTATGGCCTGCTGACTGAATGCTGCATTGCCCAAGCTTGCATTTCGTGTTGAAAAATGTGCAGGAATTTATGTAAATCTGCTATTTGTACCTATGTTTATTATTTATGTATTGTGACTTGCTTACCATTCCTCTATCTTACACTTTCTGACCCGACCCTACTGATCATCCACAGCTCATCGGATTCCTCCCGCAGTGTAAATAAATAAATATTCTTATTCCTCCCACAGTGTAAATAAATATTCTGATTCCTCCCGTAGTGTAAATAAATATTCTGATTCCTCCACAGTGTAAATAAATATTCTGATTCCTCCACAGTGTAAATAAATATTCTGATTCCTCCACAGTGTAAATAAATATTCTGATTCTGACTGCAGTGTAAATAAATATTCTGATTCTGACTGCAGTGTAATAAATATTCTGATTCTGACTGCAGCCGATCCACCGATTGACAATGCACATCGCCGCGATGCACACAGCGATTGCTGCATCGCAGCTTCGCCCGTTCACACGTGCCCCTCGGTCTCTGCAGTCAACAACAACAATCATGACAACAACAATAATAATTTAACACGTAGGCTTTCGCGACCAATATTATTCATAATAAAGGTTTTTGGGTTAGATCGCGTTTATTTATAAATGTGTCGTAACCCTCCACCACCCGACACGGCCAATCAGCAAAGAAAAGTGTCACGTTGACAAAAGACAAATAATTCACTACTTCAGCCCACCGGTGTGTTGAAGAGTTAATCCACATTTACAGTTTGAGTACTTACAGTTTGAGTACGACGTTTCGCTGGTAAATACTTCCAGCATCATCGGGCAATTCGCCAGAATGGTAAAGCCCTCGCTTGCTCCCGGTTTTATCTCGCGCAGAAGAGTGACGTCATCACTTAACTCATCAGGTGCAGTGATTAGAGGCGGAGGGGGGGGGGTAATGTAATTATATAATCGATTAGTAATCAGTCATTGGTTATGATTAGTAATGAGTTGTAGATTAGTAATTCTTTAAATCAAAATGTAATGTGTATTATTTAATAATACGCTTCCAGGCCGCACTGAGCCGGTAGCTGTCAGAGCGATTAAAGTTATTCTTGTTCCTCTCAATTTCAATGGATTCTCTAATTAGTCTTTGCCAGTAATAATTAGTTTTACACACCACTGCAACATTGTCAAAATCAATTGAGTGTCCTTGTTGACAAGCATGTTCTGCCACTGCCGACAGTTGTGTTTGAGATAATTTAATATTTCTCTGATGTTCTTTTAGTCTTACGCTGATGTTACGTCCCGTCTGCCCAATGTAGCAGCTGCCACATGAACAATTAATCCGATATACACCTTCTGTTGATAGTTTAGGTAATGCGTCTTTAGTGCAAGATACTAGTTTTTGAATTTTGTGTACTGTACCAAATCTTACTGTAATGTTTTGCTTTTGCAAAACGCGGGCTAATTTGTCAGTTACTCCTGAGATATATGGAATTTTTATTGTTTTAACAATCTGGTCGCTTTCAGTAGTATTGCTTTGCGATCGTGATTTGGCATTCAGTGCTCTGTTAATTTGAGCATTATTGTAGCCATTCTGTCGTAGTGCGTCTTTAACGTGTTTAATCTCTCTCACTAGACTCTCACCATCTGACACTGTTTTCGCCCGATGCACGAGCGTCTTAATAAGAGAGGATTTTTGAGCTGGATGATGATGTGATTCTGCATTCAGATAGGCATCAGTGTGCGTTTGCTTTCTGTAAACGCTGTGTGTTATTTTACCGTTTAGGCCATGTCCAAGCAAAATATCTAGGAATGGGAGTGTATTATTCACCTCCATTTCCATGGTGAACTGGATGGCCGGGTTTTGTGCATTGAGATGATTTAGAAAATCATTAAGTGTATCTTTACCATGTGGCCAGACAACCAAAGTGTCATCCACATACCTAAACCAAAAGGATGGTTTTAATGTGCTCGAGGCAAGTGCTCTTATTTCAAAATTTTCCATGTACAAATTTGCTATAGCAGGGGATAAAGGAGAACCCATTGCTGCTCCTTCCTTTTGTTTAAAGAAATCCCCTCTCCATAAGAAGTAAGTGTTATTTAAGCAATGGCCAGCAAGTTTCGGAATATCTTTTTGTAAACCGGTATTCTTTACTAGTGTATCAAGTAATTTAAGCGATTCGTCCACTGGAACCTTAGTGAATAGAGAAATCACATCAAAGCTTACCAGAATATCATCAGGAGTAAGTTTAATATCTTTAATCACATTCACAAGATGTTCTGAATTTTTTATGAATGAAGATGTCTTACCGATGTAGGGCTGTATTTGTTTGGTTATATATTTTTTTGCTAATTGATATGTGGCAGAGCCAATTGTACTGACTATGGGTCGTAATGGGATGCCGATTTTATGAATCTTTGGTAGCCCATAGAGTCTAGGTGGTTTTGAGGCCCTTGGCTTAATTAGGTATTGCTCATTTTTAGGGATTAATGAATTTGCAATTATTGCAGTGGTCTTACGTTCTAAAGTATTAGTTGGATCTCGTTTAATTTTAATGTAGGTACTTTCCTCTAGTAAATTTCTAATTTTATTATCATAATCGGCTCGTGACATCAGTACAGTAGTGCGGCCTTTATCAGCTGCTAGGATTTGGATATCCTTATTTACACGCAGCTCTCTTAAGGCTTTTGCCTCGTTAGAGCTAATATTTACTTTTGGAACTTTGCTATTCTCAATTATTTTAGCAACCTCATGTCTAGTCATCTCTGCCTCATTATGTGGAAGGAGTCTAACTGCTGATTCTACCTCAGCAATTATCTCATCCACTGGAATTGTGCGTGGGGTAACGGCAAAGTTAAGGCCTTTAGAAAGGATAGAGACCATGTCACCGGTTAATACAGTGTTGGTCAAGTTCAGTACAGTTTTGTTTTTACATTTTTGGTTTTCAGTAGGGATTTGTTTGTTATGTAGTCTAGAAAATTTATTAATTTGGTTAGTTTTTGTTAGTTTAAACACATTATCAGCCGATTGTTGTGTTATGTTATCGATTATATTCCAATAATGCATAGATACACTATTGCTTATATCTAAGTGTAACTGCTTTAGCGATTCCGAAATGTAAGATAATTCACTCCTATTGTGCTGTATTCTCTCTATTAATAATAATTCGCTAGCTTTGTGTAGTATTTGGTTAGCTTTAGAAGACTTTATGTGATGTGTTATTTTAACTGCGTTTGGTATTACCTTTGAATCTCTGCACCTTTTGAGGAACGCCAGTGAAGATATCAATTTCATTCGCTTAATGCGAAGCTTCTCCAATTTTCTGGTTTTAAGAAAAGTATCCTCCCCATAGAGGTTAGTCAGTTTAACACGTAGGCTTTCGCGACCAATATTATTCATAATAAAGGTTTTTGGGTTAGATCGCGTTTATTTATAAATGTGTCGTAACCCTCCACCACCCGACACGGCCAATCAGCAAAGAAAAGTGTCACGTTGACAAAAGACAAATAATTCACTACTTCAGCCCACCGGTGTGTTGAAGAGTTAATCCACATTTACAGTTTGAGTACTTACAGTTTGAGTACGACGTTTCGCTGGTAAATACTTCCAGCATCATCGGGCAATTCGCCAGAATGGTAAAGCCCTCGCTTGCTCCCGGTTTTATATAGAGCAGAAGAGTGACGTCATCACTTAACTCATCAGGTGCAGTGATTAGAGGCGGAGGGGGGGGGGTAATGTAATTATATAATCGATTAGTAATCAGTCATTGGTTATGATTAGTAATGAGTTGTAGATTAGTAATTCTTTAAATCAAAATGTAATGTGTATTATTTAATAATACGCTTCCAGGCCGCACTGAGCCGGTAGCTGTCAGAGCGATTAAAGTTATTCTTGTTCCTCTCAATTTCAATGGATTCTCTAATTAGTCTTTGCCAGTAATAATTAGTTTTACACACCACTGCAACATTGTCAAAATCAATTGAGTGTCCTTGTTGACAAGCATGTTCTGCCACTGCCGACAGTTGTGTTTGAGATAATTTAATATTTCTCTGATGTTCTTTTAGTCTTACGCTGATGTTACGTCCCGTCTGCCCAATGTAGCAGCTGCCACATGAACAATTAATCCGATATACACCTTCTGTTGATAGTTTAGGTAATGCGTCTTTAGTGCAAGATACTAGTTTTTGAATTTTGTGTACTGTACCAAATCTTACTGTAATGTTTTGCTTTTGCAAAACGCGGGCTAATTTGTCAGTTACTCCTGAGATATATGGAATTTTTATTGTTTTAACAATCTGGTCGCTTTCAGTAGTATTGCTTTGCGATCGTGATTTGGCATTCAGTGCTCTGTTAATTTGAGCATTATTGTAGCCATTCTGTCGTAGTGCGTCTTTAACGTGTTTAATCTCTCTCACTAGACTCTCACCATCTGACACTGTTTTCGCCCGATGCACGAGCGTCTTAATAAGAGAGGATTTTTGAGCTGGATGATGATGTGATTCTGCATTCAGATAGGCATCAGTGTGCGTTTGCTTTCTGTAAACGCTGTGTGTTATTTTACCGTTTAGGCCATGTCCAAGCAAAATATCTAGGAATGGGAGTGTATTATTCACCTCCATTTCCATGGTGAACTGGATGGCCGGGTTTTGTGCATTGAGATGATTTAGAAAATCATTAAGTGTATCTTTACCATGTGGCCAGACAACCAAAGTGTCATCCACATACCTAA